ACATATTGTTCACAAGTGAGTTGCATATTCTTGACAGTACTCACTCCCAGGAACATATTGTTCACAAGTGAGTTGCATATCCTTGACAGTAGTCAGTCCCAGGAACATACTGTTCACAAGTGAGTTGCATATTCTTGACAGTAGTCAGTCCCAGGAACATATTGTTCACAAGTGAGTTGCACATCCTTGACAGTAGTCAGTCCTAGAAACATATTGTTCACAAGTGAGTTGCATATCCTTGACAGTAGTCAGTCCCAGGAAAATATTGTTCACAAGTGAGTTGTATATCCTTGACAGTAGTCAGTCCCAGGAACATATTGTTCACAAGTGAGTTGCATATCCTTGACAGTAGTCAGTCCCAGGAACATATTGTTCACAAGTGAGTTGCATATCCTTGACAGTTGTCAGTCCCAGGAACATATTGTTCACAAGTGAGTTGCAAATCCTTGACAGTAGTCAGTCCCAGGAACATATTGTTCACAAGTGAGTTGCAAATCCTTGACAGTGGTCAGTCCCAGGAACATATTGTTCACAAGTGAGTTGCACATCCTTGACAGTAGTCAGTCCCAGAAACATACTGTTCACAAGTGAGTTGCATATCCTTGACACTAGTCAGTCCCAGGAACATATTGTTCACAAGTAAGTTGTATATTCTTGACAGCAGTCAGTCATAGGAACATACTGTTCACAAGTGAGTTGCATATCCTTGACAGTAGTCAGTCCCAGGAACATATTGTTCACAAGTAAGTTGTATATTCTTGACAGCAGTCAGTCATAGGAACATACTGTTCACAAGTGAGTTGCATATCCTTGACAGTAGTCAGTCCCAGGAACATACTGTTCACAAGTGAGTTGCATATCCTTGACAGTAGTCAGTCCCAGGAACATATTTGTTCACAAGTGAGTTGCATATCCTTGACAGTAGTCAGTCCTAGAAACATATTGTTCACAAGTGAGTTGCATATTCTTGACAGTACTCACTCCCAGGAACATATTGTTCACAAGTGAGTTGCATATCCTTGACAGTAGTCAGTCCCAGGAACATATTTGTTCACAAGTGAGTTGCATATCCTTGACAGTAGTCAGTCCTAGAAACATATTGTTCACAAGTGAGTTGCATATTCTTGACAGTACTCACTCCCAGGAACATATTGTTCACAAGTGAGTTGCATATCCTTGACAGTAGTCAGTCCCAGGAACATATTGTTCACAAGTGAGTTGCACATCCTTGACAGTAGTCAGTCCTAGAAACATATTGTTCACAAGTGAGTTGCATATCCTTGACAGTACTCAGTCCCAGGAACATATTGTTCACAAGTGAGTTGCACATCCTTGACAGTAGTCAGTCCCAGGAACATATTGTTCACAAGTGAGTTGCACATCCTTGACAGTAGTCAGTCCTAGAAACATATTGTTCACAAGTGAGTTGAACATCCATGACAGCAGTTGTTCCTATTTGGCAGTCGGACAGTCTTAGAACAAATTGTTCACAAGTGAGTTGCACATCCTTGACAGTAGTCAGTCCCAGAAACATATTGTTCACAAGTTAGTTGCATATTCATGACAGTAGTCAGTCCCAGGAACATATTGTTCACAAGTGAGTTGTACATCCTTGACAACAGTATACGTCTCTATTTTTCTCAACATGCTCTGTAAGTCAGTTACAATTACGACACGTGTGTACAGCCGATTCTCAAGCCATTGAAAGGCTGCAGTTACTGCCTCCATCTCCATTCTCAAAATAGATGTTGTGGTGTCATATGCCAGGCTTTGTTGCACCAGGCTACATCCATTCACTTTTACTAAGAACCCCCATGAGCTTCGTCTGCCTCTCAACACAGAGCCATCTGTATAGACTATCACATCACCTCGGTGAGAACTGTCACGAATCAATTGTTGAACTTGTGATTGTTCAGCTCCCACTGGCCAGTCCGTGCACTTACGGGCTGATGTGATCAGAACCCTACACAAGTCTGGCTTGCTAGGATATTCTGACTCACTCCTCTTACCATTGCCCAGTATTATCAAGCCTGCACACATGTCTAATTGTGTCTTCAACTTGCGCCATTCTTAGCTCTGTGTTGAAATAAACAGAGGGGGAACCCTTGAGATAGAAAGATGTATAATAAACAAACAACAATAGACAACATAAAAATTGAAAGCTATAATTACACTGCTGGGAATCAAACCTGTCAACTCCAAATGGCTTTTTAATCTCTCACACACACACACACACACACACACACACACACACACACACACACACAAGGAGAGAGGCAGTCCACAATGTATGGGGGCTGAGTGGTCTCGGGACACGGCGTGCGCCTTTGAGTGATGGAGGTTCTGAGTTCAAGCCCAGTGAAGGCAGGGATGATTTTCATGTAGACTTGAACTAAGTACTCACGAGCAGCAGCTACCGCGTCTCCTGCAGCTTCCTTCATTTTTTTTTGCTTGTGAGTCCTAGCCATCTAGTTTAGCCCCAGTCCACGCCGCATGAGCAGCGTTGGGGAAACCTTCGGCGGAGGTTTCCAAAAGTGTGCAATTCGGCGGTGGCGTTATAGTCCCAGGAAGTGCGCAACTGACACGTGACTGAGGCCCTGTTGGGGTATATTTTCCACCCCGATAATTTACGACCGTTATTCGGAGGATTGCTGCACTATCAGATCACGGCTATCCTCCGAAAAACGGGCACAAAATGTGACGGCCAAAAACAGGGTCTCAGTCACGTGTCAACATCGCATTTCCGGTGACCAAATTTGCGTTTTCTGGCGACTACCGCCACCGCCGAGAGTGCCGCTCACGCGGCCTGGATCGGGGCTTAACTAGATAGCTAGGACTCACGAAAAAAGCTGCAGGAGATGCGGAAGCTGCTGCTCATGAGTCTTAGCCATCTAGTTTAGCCCCAATCCACGCGGCGTGGATTGGGTCTAAACTAGATGGCTTCTCTTCTTCTTCTTTCGTTCGCCTGAAATAAATTGTCTCTTGTATATCAGCGTTGTTTGTTCATTCAGTGGTGACGTCTGCTCTCCAGCAAGAACTGACCCAAACTACCCGCGCCGGATCCGGAGCTCAGCATTTTAACTTCCGGGTCAAAGTCTGTTGCTTATGACGCTTTCGAAACGTTTTTGAGAAATGGTACCAAAGTGTTTCCTAAAAGGTCACAAAACACACACAAAGTAGTCATTTTTAAAATAAACGGCTACTAAGACTCTTTTTTAAACACACACACAACACACTCACAGGCTTATATAAATGTATATATCATCATCATCAGGTGCCTTGCCGACTGGTGTGGGCGATCATGCCTCTCCACAATCCACGATCTCCTGCAGCATGCATCAGTTCGTGTGCCGACACACCTCCATACCATGCAACAAGACTGTCAAGCATCTTCTCTTGTTGTCTTCCTCTATCCCTCCTTTCACATATCTTTTCAGTGGTCACAACATGTTCTATTTTCCCTCTTCTCATAACATGGCCGAAAAATGATGACTGCCTCCTTCTGTTTTATATATATATATATATATATATATATATATATATGTATATATATATATATATATATATATCTATATATATATATATATATATATATATAAGCGAGTTATAAATTTTAGCCAGATATATATATAACTGGCTAACCGTATATTTAGTATCATTGCTGTACTACTTTTCTTTTATTTAAATGCTGTTGTGGTGGTTTCCAGTAATGTCAAAGTAAAGTTCATGCCTCTTTACACGTCAGAGGCGCATTAGGCATATAAGTTAAATTCATATAGTATTATATTTTTATGGAGTAATCGGCCTGTGGTGGGTGATGTGGTCAAAATCACGCCACCTTTACTTCCCATGACATTACCTGATACCCAGTTAGGGCTTGTTCGACCTGTGAGCCAAACGTGGATGCAACACCTTGAAGCAATACTTTGGATCACATCAATGCATTTATTGTGGAAGTCTTTTAATAAGACTTTTTTTTTTTTTTTAATCTTAACATTGTTCAGCAAAGAGAACAATCTGGCAGCCGCAAAGCAATGGAGTCATGCCAACAGACTCAACAACAACTTACATACTCAAATAAAGTGATTTTCATCTCCATATTTTTCTTTTGAAATTGTAGATTAACATTTTTCTGGTACTTTAATCTTCAGAATTATTCGATTGGTCTTGCACTATTATTTCCCTGCTTTCTCTGTGTATTTGTTTATAGCGGTTTTTTGTTTTTTTTTAAACAAGGCTATGAAATTGCATGACCAATAAAATAATAATTAGGGAAGACAGCCAATGTCTTCAAGGAAATGACAAAAAAAAAAAAAATGAAGCTCGAAATCCTGGGAAATTATCGAGATGGGTTTGAAGAGATCCGGCTCTCTAGCGAAGTTGGTTAAACCTGACTTTCGCGGTGGCCGGGTGACGAACTCCTTGTGGTCCGGGTTCACTCCCGGGGGTAGGCAGAAAAGCCACATTTCTCCCAGATTAACGGTACCTATAATGGAATCAATACCGAAGGGTTGCGATATCCATAGTACCGAGCCAAAGGGTTTACAACTCATGGTTTCTGGATACGTTTAAAAAAAATACAGAATTAAAAAAAAGAGATCTGGTAAAATAATTCATGCCAAAAACGGAGGAATATCATCAGTGGAATTGATTCAGAACAAATTGATTCAGCAAAATTGATAATAATATACTCCCCGGCGGGGAATCGAACCCCGGTCTCCCGCGTGACAGGCGGGGATACTTACCACTATACTACCGAGGACACGGTAAGTTTGGATAATGTGAAATACTATAGCAGTTTGTAGATTCCTTGATTCCACTTGTTGTTGATTGGCTACATTTTCTGTACACAGATTTGAAAGTGTTTCCGGTATCACATTCTACTTTCGCTTTCCATTGTTGTGCTGTATGCGACAGTTGTAACCCAGGGGGTTGAACGGGGTATTCTTTTTCTGTGGACGCGACTTCTGCTGCCTGGTGTGTTCCTGAAGCAAGTTGCCATGGCAGAGGACATGCACATCTGCAGCAGTTCTGTGTTTTCTCATTTTATCCAGGTGATCAATGATCAAGTTTTTCTTTTCTTTCTTCCTTACTTACTGAAAAATGAAAAAGAAACTTTGTTCTTTCACTAACCTCTCTGTGACATTCTTTCAAAGAATCTTTGCTTACATAGTTGTTGATAGCTTATCACCATTATGTACACTGTACTGTTGTTCACTGAAATTCTGCACTGTAGCACAGATAATGAGCTAAACTAAAGGGATGTGGAGAAGACACGACGGAGAGACAATATTAAAGTCAGACCTACACACAGTTGCCGTTGGTGTGTCACTAAGTGGGAAGACAAGACCAACCACAGAGATGAATGAATGAATGCAGGCAGGTGATATGATATCTGCAATATTTTAGAGGGTGGTAAGAGTGGGTTTTCCATGGTTTCTGTGCTTTATCTCCTTTCTTTCCAGGCCAAGGTTTTTTGCACATTTACCTAACCCTAACCAAAACTATACACTTAATCTACCACCCACTGAAATATTTGACTGTCCCGTTAACTTTTGTGGTCAGCTAATAAGAAAGTACCAAAAATAGTCTGTATATCCTAATTATAATCCAGATGGATTTTGCTTTTTCACATCGTATTTAACTGGGACATCTCAGCCGTTGCCATATCAAGTCTTGTCTTGATCTCTTTGATACAACTTTGGTACACTGCCTGATTACATAATATGTATATAGTTTCTTTCTTTATTCCAGATAGGAGGGGGGAAGTTGATCCAGGTTGACCTGCTACCATTTTTAACACCATCACAGCTCGAAGAGGGACATGAGTTGAACTGGTTTGCAAAAGACCATCTCCATGTATGACAAAGTATTTTATTTTGTACATTGTTTTGTTTGTGCGTGTTAGGAATGGAATGGATTTTTTACCCCACCAGGACACCACACAAGCGATAAACACCCGATGACACAAAGTGCCACCATGCGGATGAGGATCACCGTGGAGAGGTCCCAGAAACCGCGTTCAGACATTTGGCCATAATGATGACCTGCCTATATTGCGGCCCCTGGCAAAAGCCAGAGTGGGGCTTCAAATAACAAAAAATAACGTCCTAAGAAGGACGAGAAGTTATGAAAAGCTGTTGTGTGTGTTACACATTTTCTTGAAGAAATTGTAATGCTTACTGTCATAAATCTGTGTGTCATAAATCTTTACTCACTGATCTGTATATCATAAATATTTACCTCGTAAATTTAAATATCATACTCTTTATCTCCGTGTGGGTTCTGGGTCCCCATTTTAGGAGAAACAAGAATAAACCCACTGTCCCTCAACAAGCACCTCGTATAAAATGACTAAATACAGGTTTGTTCAAGTTGAATGTGTTAGTCCAGACAGTACAGACATTGCAACCTAGCAGTAAACTTCAACACAACATTCCAACTGCCCTTTTTATTCTTTCAGTATCTGCCAATTGATAAATTAGCTATAAATCAAAACCTGATGCCTTCCTTGGTACCCTTTGACCCAAGAAGCTAAGGGTTAGCGCCGAAAAAGAAGATTTACATCATAAATCTTAACCTCAGCAATTTTTACCTCACGAAACTTTACTTCACGAAACTTTACCTTATAAATATTTACCTATACATTTCACTGACACAGGAATGGAGCTTTTATAGGGTGACCCATTTGCAATGAAGTTAAAACCCCGACCGCTGGCCTGGAAAATACTTCGTTAATCTTCACCTCATAATAAATCTTTATGTCATAAATCTCACCTAATATTTTCATTTCTGAGTTATTACTTTCGAAAGATGGACCTGTGGTGATGCAGCGGTGAGTATGCTTACCTGCTTGTCGGTGGTCATGAGTTCAAACCTTCCTCAAAGACAGGCTTTTTAACTTTGGCTCCTAGCATGAAGTATACACCAAGAAATTTTATGGGAAGTAAAGATGGCCATCATGTTTTTAACCACATTACCCATCAAATACCAGCTGGTATTTAAAAAAAGTAAGCCATTATTGGCATGATATACCAAACGTATCTCAAGGCATGAAGAGGGGGTCGAGGGAGGTTCACTCTGGTTGCTTCATTGTCTGTGGCAGGTACAGCTGTTAAGATGCCAAGTGTTGTGTGCAAAATCACTGTGGGGTTTGAAGAGTTAATGAAGCCAGGGCTTTGTGAAGCATGGTACACATGGACATTCATGTTGTGTTGATGGGTTGTCAGTGTCAGCAGTTGGGGGCACTGCAAGAGAGTGGAGCATGGAACTGTATTAAAGGGTTGCCACAACACAAGGAACTGTATTAAAGGGTTGCCACAACACAAGGAACTGTATTAAAGGGTCGCCACAACACAAGGAACTGTATTAAAGGGTTGCCACAACACAAGGAACTGTATTAAAGGGTTGCCACAACACAAGGAACTGTATTAAAGGGTCGCCACAACACAAGGAACTGTATTAAAGGGTCGCCACAACACAAGGAACTGTATTACAGGGTCGCCACAACACAAGGAACTGTATTAAAGGGTTGCCACAACACAAGGAACTGTATTAAAGGGTCGCCACAACACAAGGAACTGTATTAATAACTATTAAAGGGTCGCCACAACACAAGGAACTGTATTAAAGGGTCGCCACAACACAAGGAACTGTATTAAAGGGTTGCCACAACACAAGGAACTGTATTAAAGGGTTGCCACAACACAAGGAACTGTATTAAAGGGTTGCCACAACACAAGGAACTGTATTAAAGGGTTGCCACAACACAAGGAACTGTATTAAAGGGTTGCCACAACACAAGGAACTGTATTAAAGGGTTGCCACAACACAAGGAACTGTATTAAAGGGTCGCTACAACATGAGGAATTGTATTAAAGGGTCGCCTCAACACAAGGAACTGTATTAAAGGGTTGCCACAACACAAGGAACTGTATTAAAGGGTTGCCACAACACAAGGAACTGTATTAAAGGGTTGCCACAACACAAGGAACTGTATTAAAGGGTCACCACAACACAAGGAACTGTATTAAAGGGTTGCCACAACACAAGGAACTGAATTAAAGGGTCGCCACAACACAAGGAACTGTATTAAAGGGTCGCCACAACACAAGGAACTGTATTAAAGGGTCGCCACAACACAAGGAACTGTATTAAAGGGTTGCCACAACACAAGGAACTGTATTAAAGGGTTGCCACAACACAAGGAACTGTATTAAAGGGTCGCCACAAAACAAGGAACTGTATTAAAGGGTCGCCACAACACAAGGAACTGTATTAAAGGGTTGCCACAACACAAGGAACTGTATTAAAGGGTCACCACAACACAAGAAACTGTATTAAAGGGTTGCCACAACACAAGGAACTGTATTAAAGGGTTGCCACAACACAAGGAACTGTATTAAAGGGTCGCCACAACACAAGGAACTGTATTAAAGGGTCGCCACAACACAAGGAACTGTATTAAAGGGTCGCCACAACACAAGGAACTGTATTAAAGGGTTGCCACAACACAAGGAACTATATTAAAGGGTTGCCACAACACAAGGAACTGTATTAAAGGGTCGCCACAACACAAGGAACTGTATTAAAGGGTCGCCACAACACAAGGAACTGTATTAAAGGGTTGCCACAACACAAGGAACTATATTAAAGGGTTGCCACAACTCGAGGAACTGTATTAAAGGGTTGCCACAACACAAGGAACTGTATTAAAGGGTTGCCACAACACAAGGAACTGTATTAAAGGGTCGCCACAACACAAGGAACTGTATTAAAGGGTCGCCACAACACAAGGAACTGTATTAAAGGGTTGCCACAACACAAGGAACTGTATTAAAGGGTCACCACAACACAAGAAACTGTATTAAAGGGTTGCCACAACACAAGGAACTGTATTAAAGGGTTGCCACAACACAAGGAACTGTATTAAAGGGTCACCACAACACAAGGAACTGTATTAAAGGGTCGCCACAACACAAGGAACTGTATTAAAGGGTCGCCACAACACAAGGAACTGTATTAAAGGGTTGCCACAACACAAGGAACTATATTAAAGGGTTGCCACAACACAAGGAACTGTATTAAAGGGTCGCCACAACACAAGGAACTGTATTAAAGGGTCGCCACAACTCGAGGAACTATATTAAAGGGTTGCGGCATTAAAAAGGTTGAGAACCTCTGGTCTAAGTGCGTGGCATGGGCGCAGATTGTTCAGTCCTGTGCATGTGTGGACTTGGTGTGACAGTTTTAACAATGTGGTTTTATTCTGTGGAGCTCATGTGAACTGTCCAGATCATTGTATTGGATGATGAGTAGGACTTCAGAATTATGTCAGTGTGATTTCTAGAATGGACTTGTATCGGCCATGTATGTGTGGTCAGCAGGGTTGTAGTTGTGTGGCACATCAGTTGACGGGGTTGTCCTTAAGTGCACAGAAGATGCTGGGGAACTGTATGTGTGTTGACCAATGTGGAATTGTGATGGGAAAGTATCAGAGGCTGATTGACGGGATGTTAGTCAGTGATACTTCAATGAGTGGATGGGGTAGCAGACAGAAGGTCTGGATTCTTTCATCAAGTGGTGCATCTACCTTGAACCTCGGGTGGCGGGGTCTTTTAGAGGAAGAACCATCAGAGGATTGTATGTGCGATCGGGAATGAGTTGCCCATAGCAGGTGCCTGATAGATAGTTTCCTGGGGTGTGTTGTCCATGTCTGGAGAGACTGAGGATGTGAGTATTTGGAAGGTAGTTGTAGTCTTGCCAGTGAGTCAGTGATCACCGATTCGTCTTCGTTGCAATGTGTTCGTCCATAATAAAGAAGAAACTGATTGCACTACAAGATCATACTTGGCTTGATGTAGTATATTACAGTACTCATAGAAGACAATGTTGGTGGTTATGATAGGACATGTTTCATTTTGTGTGTTGGTGTTCCTATTGTCGTTGGCTTCTCCTTGCTCTCCAGTAGGAACCCAATAGTCGCTTTGTCGTCTGAGGTAGCTTTTGTGTGTGACTGGAGCAAGTCGTACACCCGGGGCGCTTTGTCGGATGTGTTACCCCTTATAAGTTAACGTCAGTTAATTTATAAATAATGGAAATAAAATATTTGAAGCTGTAAAATCCAGCATCCGCGTAGCGGATACCATAAGCTTCTTTAAAACCTGACGCTGAAAGGCAGAACAGGACTTAAGATTAATAAGGAAATGAAAACTAAATTTAAGACATCGTTTTCCTGCCCTAACGCTTTAAAAAAAATGGGTCATGATTCCTGGAGAACTTCCCCAAAAAAATCTTATTTAAAAAAATAGTTTTACACAGATCACTAATAAATTCCTCCCCCACCTTTCCCACCAAAAAATGATGTAACTTTTTTTTTTTTTGGGGGGGGGGGGGGGGAGGGGGAGGGAGGATATATAAAGAGAAATAAAAGTAGTTATCAGCAAACATGAACACGGTGAAGCATTAAACGGAATATATTCTCTAGGGTCTAAAAAACACAATATGAATCTGATAACTCACACCATGAGTCAGTGAACTTTATCACTGAGGCTTACGGGGGAAAATTGACCTCAAATATTACCTTCCCAACCTCCTAAATATTTGCTCATTAGCATTAATTATGTGTCTTGTAAACACATCACTCTCATTCATTCATTCAGTAGCATGTCCCTCGTGGAACCTCGCTGCCATAACAACCCTCCGGAAAACCTTCCTATCCTGAGCAAGATGTCCTGCGTCTGATACACCCATCTGGAGATCATCTGCCACATCCTGCACCCATCTTCTCCTTGGCCTTCCTCTTCCTCTCTTCTCAGGCATATACCCCTCCATTATTGTTCTCTCTAGACTTCCATGACGTTTCAAGTGACCAAAATATTTCAATTTTCTTTGTTTTATTGTCTTTACTAGCCAACCCTCTTCAATATTCAGCTCTTGAAGTATGGATGCATTTATTCTTTTCTTTACCCAAGATATTCTTAGAACTTGTCTGTAACATTTATATTCAAATGCATTTATGCGCTGTTCCGCTTGTTTAGTAAGTGTCCGGGTCTCACAGGCGTATGTTGCAATGGGAAAGATGCATGCTCTTAAAAATCTGATTTTCACTATTTCTTTGGAATGAGGTTAATAAGTTTTCTAAACCATTTTGTGATGTTGATAGTAATACTGTATCATCAGCATAACAAATTTCTGGTATTTCATGACCACCGATGTTTAGGGCATCATATTGTTCCTTGTTTATATCATCTCTTACATTTCTCATTATATTTTCGGCGTACAGGTTGAACAAATACGGTGACAGCACACATCCCTGACGGACTCCTTGCTTGATGCCAAACCAGTCTGATTTCTCTCCATCTATTCTGACTGCTGCTTGTTGGTCTTGATAGAGCATTTTAATGAGCTGCACTATATGTGATGGAAAGCCCATATTCCTCATGATTTCCCAAAGCTTCTGATGTTGTACACAGTCAAATGCTTTTGAATAATCCACAAAACATAAGAACAGATTTACATTAAATTCTCTACACTTCTCTATTATTAAACGCATGTTGAATATATGATCTCTTGTTCCTCTTCCCTGTCTAAATCCAGCCTGAGCTACATTAATCTCTTCTTCCATTTTCTTATGCAGTCTTCTCATTATAATTTTTAGTAGAATTTTGCTTGCATGACTGATCAGGGCAATAGTTCACTCTAGACAAGTCCAAAAAGTGACATTTACAGGAACTGACCCGCCGGAAGTGTTGAAGACTGAGGGTACAAACAGTTTTTTTCACAGTAGTGAAATGTACTTTGTGTCCAGAAACAAAGATGTATTTCAGGGGAAAGAATTCACGTTTATGCTTCATGATGTGTCGATGTAACTAGTAATCCATTTGAGGAGATACAACGAAATTTGCCAGGTAATTCATTGTTCAGTGTAATGTTTTTTGTTCTCATTATTTCAAGAAAACTAATTGTTCATGTCACCAATAACTTTCTGTTGACCAATAGGAGACTCTGGTGCTACTGCGACCAGTTTTGATGTCCTGCTTGGAGGCCAGACTTGACAAGGATGCTAAAAAATCTGAACAGTCTCAAAGTTGTGTTGTCACAGGTTTGTTGTGTTGTCACAGGTTTGTTGTGTTGTCACAGGTTTGTTGTGTTGTCACAGGTTTGTCGTGTTGTCACAGGTTTGTCATGTTGTCACAGGTTTGTTGTGTTGTCACAGGTTTGTTGTGTTATCACAGGCTTGTTGTGTTGTCACAGGTTTGTTATTTTGTCACATTATACCAGATCAAGCAGAGCACTATTACATTGATTTATTGCCCTCTCATTAACATCATGTGCACTGCTAGGTGGCATAGATATCTGTGTGTCTCACGACAGATCTCACTCATTCTGAGGATATTCATCTGAGACTAACAAAAAAACCAGTCTTTTCTTCATCTCTATGTCCTCTTTTACCGCTCCGGGTGTCGAGGAAGATATAAGGTCCTGCTCCATGCTCCTCTGGCTGCCTCGACCACAGACACATTGTGGGTCTGCAGAGTTTCTCTGATGATATCTTCCCATCTTGTTCTTGGTCTACCTCTTGCTCTACATCCCTCTCCTCTTTTTTTATATGCCCTCAATGGTATGAAACCTGTCTTTACCGCCCATATTTGACACTTTTAGTACAGTGTCTTATTCTTCTTTGCACTCACCGGCTGTAAACTCTGGCAGAAAGTTCTGGTTTTTCATCCACTTCTGGACTTCAGATTTATTCTAGAGCTTGATTTTCCCATGCACATCCATTTAAAGATGTAGTCTATTTGTATGCAGACTGTTAGTTCATCACCTCTCAGGCAGATGCACTACAGTTTTGAAGGAAACCCTCTAATTAGTCGATTCTTACAATACGCTTGTTACGGGGTAGTCGGACTATTCTTTTTTTTTCCCACAATGTGGCCTGGAACCCACACAGAGATTAGTGCAATGTTCGACGTTTGACCTCGAGGAGAGGGTTGCATGGTTAGTGCAGTTGCCATGAACTGTCTAGGTTAGGATGTTTTCACCCCCAACAGAGAAAACAAAACAAAAACTTTCATCACTTTACCCAGGTTTCCCACAAAATAACCCAGCATTTGAGACACTCTGCCAGCTACCTACCCCTCAGCAACTAAGACTGGATCAGCATAATTTATGTGGACCTGCCTCAGCCTCATCTACTGCAATTTTCTTTTTTCAACAATAGGTATTTCCTCTAGAGCTTCTATTCTCATCAAGTGACCAGCAAATTCCATTTGCCTCTTTCTGAAAGTGCCTGTCATGTTCCACTTTCAGCATCTTTTCTGGGTATCAAAGGTCCCACAGTTTATAGTTTAATAATGCCTGACCCAAGTTTATAGTTTAATAATGCCTGACCCAAAGTTTGTAGTTTAATAATGCCTGACCCAAGTTTAAAGTTTAATAATTCCTGACTCACAGTTTATAGTTTAATGATTCCTAACTCACAGTTTATAGTTTAATAATGCCTGACCCAAAGTTTATAGTTTAATAATGCCTGACCCAAAGTTTGTAGTTTAATAATGCCTGACCCAAGTTTAAAGTTTAATAATTCCAAACTCATAGTTTATGGTTTAATGATTCCTAACTCACAGTTTATAGTTTAATAATTCCAAACTCACAGTTTATAGTTTAATAATTCCTAACTCACAGTTTATAGTTTAATGATTCCTAACTCACAGTTTATAGTTTAATAATTCCTAACTCACAATTGATAGTTGAATGCTTTCTGATTCACAGTTAATACTTGCTCACCCAATCAATCTTTGAGCTTTAATGAGTTGAAATGGAACATTTATATGGTGGAGCGACAGAGTAACAAATAAAATAATGCAGATTAACATAACAGAACAAATGGCATGGAAACAAACTTTTAAAAAGTACACCATTAAAATATTTATCGAAAATCAGCTGGTTTACTGTTTAGTACTGTAAAATGTGAAATGAGAGGAGTTGTCGCATATCTGGCTAAAGCATCTTGGGTGATGATTATACTTCAGTCACACACGCAAAAGTTTCCTAGGCAACGATCACAATGACTTGGTTCCCTTCAAGCGAAGACTGACATAGCACTGGCCTGCACAGGCGACATCGTACCCACCAACTCTGTAAAAACAAAGTGTGAACACCAAAACTAAAGAGACCTTTAAAAGTCATCTTTGCTAGTGCTTCAGTCGAGTTTATTCATGAACCAACACATTAGGACAATCAACTGGTGGCAAATGACTGAACACTGTCTGTCTATTCAACTCTACTAAGTTTACACAGCGGCAGATTCCAAAGACGGCACCAGCTCAAAAGGCAGCACCTAGCCTTAACTTGACGTGAATCTAATACAAGACACGTTCGGTATATGGGCCCACTCCTGGGGTCACTAGTAGCCTGTAACAGCAAATATTGCTGGATCAGTGGGCTGACTTGTGGGGAACCAGATCAAAAACACTGCTATCAAAAGACCCACAAGGTTATATAAACAGCCATTGGCAGTGACCAACACTGAAGTATCAACCAAATAACACATTGGTCAGATAAAGTATCAGAGTCTTGCCGTCTTGTCTCCCATAACTGCACTCATTTGTAGCATTCATAATAATACACCAAATTCTCCACTTCCACAGTTCAGGCTCTTTAAGGAAATAAAATAAAACACATTATTAAGAACAAAAGTCACACACACACCCACACATGTCCTCCCTATCTCACTGACCAAGAGACACTGACTTTGACACAGGTTCACCTCCAGCGGCCAGTCACACTTGGGTCTCACAATACCTGTGGAGCCGCTGTTACTCGTTAATCTCCAGACATCTCACAACTTCAAGTTGCCTGGACCTTTTGCACTCACCTCTGTCATCATCATCATCATCAAATGCCTTAACGCATGACAGGGGTAATAACGCCTCAGTCCTCTGACACACTTGGATATCAAAGTGAGTTCAGCACACAAGGACATAAAGAGTTCAAGCAGCTCTGAAGCTTGGTGACAGGTGCAAATACTGCATCTTTCCAACCCGTGCACACAATGTAGCCAGCATCTATCCCATGGATGAACTCAGATGTGGGGATTTGGTGAAACCTTTTACTGTAAACCATCTGATGAAACTGAAGAAAGATGAAGACCACACAAAAGATGAAGCAACAGAATCAAGAACACTTCTAGAGAACTGTAGACAAAACCAACTTACAAATTAGCGCACTCCCCCCCCCCCCCCCCCCCCCCCTTCCTTTTCCCCACCATTTCCTCTGCCAATCTCCCTTTTCAGCCCATCACAACTTTTCCAGTCACTCCACTGGGGCTAATAGAGGAGAACAATAGGAAGAACATTAAACTACGTTAGGCTGTTTGTTACTTTAAATATTCAAAACAACATCTGCTTTTACTATTAGCTTTTATTAAGTTTACTTTTGTTGGTTGGTATGTCTGGAACAATTTTTTTATGTTCAAATTTTTGTTTGTTTTTGGTTCAGGTGAAACTGTGCGAGTCGCGTATGCCTTAAAACCACACCCAGAACGGAATCGATGTCTGGTCACCCACTTCAGCTCACAGAAGAAAACCCAAAATAAAGGTACAGGCTTGTAACAGGCAGCATATCGTGCTTAGAGCGACTTGCAGTACGGATGTCAGAGGCTAAAGTGTTCACACATTTTAGACTACATTATAATGTGAGCTACTTTATTAGATGCAAACCATGCTGATGTAGTGGTCAGATACTTGTCTGCTAACACAAAAGTCTAGGGGTCTTATCGGCATTAAGGCGTATTTTTTCAGATTTGACTAGCACCATCTGCCCGATGTGCCACTGGGTCATTTACTCTTACGTTTGACTTGTTTCACAGATACCTTTTCCTTTCCTTATCTTCTTTCTTTGTTCATCTTTGACCTGCGAGTGGAGTATAGTCTCTCAGCCAACTTCCGCCATGCTCTCTGTCGACTTTTCTATTGGTTGGATTTTGCGGCTAAAGTTTTTCTATGGTTTAAGGGGGTTATTCTTTCACCAACAATCCTGAGCTGCTCCTTAAAATATGTTCGGTATCATACAGTGTTACCACAGCTTTTTTATGATGGTGTGCAGTACCGTCTCCTTTTTCTAGACATCACATTATTTTTAATGCTATTGTAATAGACATTGTGTGGTGAATACTGGGACCTTTTTTAATAGATACTTTGTTGTGAGTTCCAGTACGTTTTTGTTTTTACAAAAACCCCTGGGTGTTTATGTTCTTTGCTTTCCCTATGCTCCCCTCCCCTTTCCGTTTCTTACTATTTGTTGCTGAAATTACATTTCATCTAAGAATGTAAAGTAACAATCCCTTTTCCGCGCCTTTCGGCGTGTTGGGTATATAGCCGCCTTTTCTTCCCAGGACTGCGCCTGGTACCCACTCAAGGCTGGGTCGACCTGGGTGACAATGTCATTTTTTTTTAAAAGTCAGGCTCAAACAGGACGCGAACCCTCGACCTTCCGATCCCGGGCAGGCAAGGGGGAAGGGGAATAGACCTACTGCCTCCCCATCCCCCCACCCCCGACTAGTACGTCATAAAAGTCAAGGGTTATGTCCTTTGAATTTGGAGTACATATGCCTAAGAGGTGAGGAACTAACAGTCTGCCCAAGCCTAATCTGTAAAATGGATGTGCATGCAAAACTCAAGTTTTGGGATAAAACCAAAGTTAGAAGTGAACAAACAACCAAAACATTTCAACCAGTTAGGGCAAAGAGAAAGAAGAAGCATCAACTTCTGCATAAAATTACAAACAATAATTTCCAGCTCCACGCCGTCTGCTATAATTGACTTCTTCTTCTTCTTCTTCTTCTTCTCTTCCACCTTGTACCTCATCGAAGTGTCGGGGGGAGATGTAATGTTCGTTGATGAGCTCTGTCAAGAGCACTATTAAGACTGATGTTCATTTCTGTAAGGCTGTTCTTAATGCCATCACTCCATCTTTTCCGAGGTCTTCCACTCGCTTTATACCCGTTGTAACATTTTTGTGTGGCTCGCTGTGGCAGATAGTACCAGGGCATTCTTGTTAGGTGTCCAAACCATTTCATTTGTTGTTCTTTGATGACCTGTAAGACTGGCATAATTGACTTTTACCCATAATTCTATCCTAGCATCATCATCATCAAAGGGTCAGCCCAGTTTTGAGGAGAGGTCTTTACACAAGGAGAAAGTTGTAGCTTTTGTTTGCCCTAAAACTAATTCATCCCTTCTACAGCTGAGCCAGGTAGGTTTACCTTTGATACCATCCCAGATCAATGTTTGTTTCGTTGTTGTTAAAGCTAGTTTCATGGTTGATTTTTTGTCTGATCTGAGTGCCCTGTGTGAGTTCCACAGCCCCATAGGAAGACTGGGTTCCACAGCCCATAGGAAGACTGGGTTCCACAGCCCCATAGGATGACTGGGTTCCACAGCCCATAGGAAGACTGGGTTCCACAGCCCATAGGATGACTGGGTTCCACAGCCCATAGGATGACTGGGTTCCACAGCCCATAGGATGACTGGGTTCCACAGCCCATAGGATGACTGGGTTCCACAGCCCCATGGGGAGATAGATCCACTGCCTACTTATAAGTGTGTAGTAAAAGTCTACTCGGAGTGCATTCCTTGCGAAAAGCTTGTTAATAAAACATTATTAATGAATATTTAGGATGGGGCAGGATGGCTGAGTCTGATTGGCACCTTTCCTTCTTTCCAGACGATAGTGTTATATTGCGCTAAGAGGAGGGATGGGACTCGCAGCCCATGGTGAGTGTGACTAGCAAGATCTGCTTGCATTAAGAAAAGTCTTCCACAATTATTGCATGGGATTTCAGGACCATTGTTGTCAACTTTTGTGTTTGTTTCTTCTCAGATGCTCAGCTCTCATCCTTTCTGCAGCCTTTTCTTAATTAATTCTTGTTCCCTTCCTGATGTGCCTCTCCACAAACCACGGTTTTGTCCCCATGAGTCTACCTCAATGACTGAATCATTCATGTTCTGCTTGCATACATCTTTATATTGTAGTAGAGGTTGGTCTTGACATCTTCTACCCATCTTTAATTCACCACAGAGGATGTCCTTAGGGACTCTGCCATTCTCCATTCTCCAGGTGTGACCAAGCCACCTGAGCCTTCGTAGACTGATCATTGAGAAGACTGTTGTAATACCTGCTCTTTCCAATACCTCCGTGTTTGTGATCTTGTACTGCCACTTAATGCTAAGTATTCTTCTTGGGCATCACATGTGAAAGTTATTTAACCGTTTGTCCTGGTGCACATAGGTTGACCAAGTTTCACTGTCATAAAGCAGAGTGCTGAGAACACAAGCCTGATAGACAAGAGTTTTTGTTTTAATTGTGAGCTGTCTGTTCTCCCAAGCCCTTTTTGTTAATCTGCTCATTGTTGTTGCTGCCTTACCTATTCTGATGTTGATTTCTTGGTTCAGCGATAAATAATAATGTGAAAGATACGAACATGAAAACGTGGAGATATAATCCTTTTGCCCTGACAAGGCTGGACAAAAATAGATCCGCTGCTCCCAGACATGGTGAAAATGTGGGGGTGACTGCAGTCAAGCTAATACAAGGAATTCCAGTGTATCTTCACATCGCATTGTTTAAAACGTTGCTCACGTCAACCCTTAGAGAATCCAATACTCTCCTCTTTGTTACATTTGTGTAGTTCACTTCATGTTTGACAAAGGCTGCCGGCCAAACCATTATTTGTGTTGTTTTGTGCACGTTTTTCTGCTTCTCTTTTTCATTAAGCTTTTTAGTCACATTTCAGTGGAATTGCTCCCAGATAAGCATGTCATAAAAGGCAGACAACTAATTAGGGGTAAGCTGAAATTAGACATGTTGGGCTGAAAGACAGATATTGTAGCCTAGCTGTACACCACAACATGCCAGCTATCCTTTTACGATTGTTGTCACCATGCACCAAATTTGTTGGGAAGCAGAAGTTAAAATGGTTTGATCATCTTGTTGAATGTAGCCACGGCAGCTACCAACACAAGAGAAGCTACACATGAAAATGAATGTGAAAGCAAGAGGTTGTCCTCGGAGAATATGGATCGATGACATTAAAGACCTTATACATCGACATGGAATAACAGTAGCCGCTGCTATACTTCAAGCAATGGATCGCAGACTGTTCCTCCCCATGACACTTAAAGGCAAAAGTGGAAATTAATGATGACAGAAAAAAGTCTTAACCTTCAATATTGTTTGAGTATACATTGTTAATAATGAAGATGATAGTTTTAGGTGGTAACTCTTATCTCAGGAAATGTGTTCACTGTTCTTATTGTGTGATATTTGCCATCCCCAGCTGGTGCATGCAGATGTAGGCAAGAGCACGACTCCAGAGATCAGCAAATATTTCCTGCCTAGTTCCGCTAACTAATGCAAGTTTCAACAGCATTGCCAAGTCAATTATATATTTTTCATGAATTCAAACAATAATTTGTCATGCTTTCTTTTTTATTCTGAGAAAATATAGCAGTGGTTGGCAGACTAACCTGCCGGCTTGGTAGTCATAGGTTCAAATCCCCTTTGGGTTAGAAAGTTTGTTTTTACAAAATAAATCTTGAATTTTTCAGAGGAAACAAAAGTATAACTTCGAACACATTTAACCCGCTTCTGGGAAAACATTTTTGGTTATAATTGTGGCTGTAGGTCATAGACAATAAACTTTGGTTATAATTGTGGCTGTAGGTCATGGACAATAAGTTTTGGTTATAATTGTGGCTGTAGGTCATGGACAATAAGTTTTGGTTATAATTGTGGCTGTAGGTCATGGACAATAAGTTTTGGTTATAATTGTGGCTGTAGGTCATGGACAATAAGTTTTGGTTATAATTGTGGCTGTAGGTCATAGACAATAAGCTTTGGTTATAATTGTGGCTGTAGGTCATGGACAATAAGTTTTGGTTATAATTGTGGCTGTAGGTCATGGACAATAAGCTTTGGTTATAATTGTGGCTGTTGGTCAATTACAATAAGCAGACAAACTAAAAAGGATGTACTCACTTCAGAGATGTGCATTCTGAAAAGAATGCAAATAATTTCATGGAAAGATAGAAAAACAAACGAAGCAGTCTTCAGCGAGACAGATGAAAGTCGTAAACTTTTTAGAACAATTAGACATAAACGGTGAACATTTTCTGGTCATATCATGAGAAGGGATGGACTCAAGAACTTGGTAACAACCGGCATGATTGGTGAAAAGAGAGCAAGAGGAAGGAAAAGAGATAAATACCTGGTTGGCCTGGCCAGATGAATAGAGGGGGTTAAAAAAAAACATGAATCTGATTCGTGATTGTGTGAAACATGACAGCATATGCTCATGAGCACGCATGGGAAGGATGCAATATAGATTTTGTTTAATGGGTACAAATGAACTTGGCCTCCCAGGTCAACCCAGACTAAAATGTGTACCCAGACTAAAATGTCAACCCAGACTAAAATGCCAACCCAGACTAAAATGTCAACCCTGACTAAAATGTCAACCCAGACAAATGTCAACCCTGACTAAAATGTCAACCCAGACTAAAATGTGTACCCAGAAATTTCCAGTGCAAGAATCTGTAGAAAAGGTCAGAATTGACAACTAAACTCACACGATTCTGTAATTAATATTTGTGTGAGGTTTTTCTAACTGAAACTTTGCCTGGGTATTGCTAATCCTACCAGCTTTGTTCAGCTGATGAAGGATTTTTAGCATGCACAACATTTTGTCCTTGTCTGGAGGTAAGGCACCAGTTACGCTATCCAAGGATGATCAGGGAGTATTGTTGACTTTTTTTTTTTAAGATCTTTCCACGATATTCTTTGCTTTCAGCCAGGCACCACAGCCCTCTTATATTTCTCTTCCTCCTTTAAAAAAAAAGAGAGAGAGAGAGAGGGGGGAGGGGGGGCTGGTTGCTTAGGAATCATAACCAAACAACCTCAAATCAGTTCTTAGATCCACTCACCAACATTCTAACAACTGAAATTGGAAACAAAGAACTTGCCAGGCATGTGTGCTTCAACAGGTTTATTTATTTAGTTTTTTTTTTTTTTTTTCAACTAACGTGCAGATACTCAACATATATAAAACAAAGATACGCAAGTAATAAATGAGAGGTGGATAGAAGTATATGGTTTTGATGTAAATACATTTTGCACAGAAAATAACAAAATAAATGAGCAAACAAAAATGAGTAAATCAACGATGGACTGTATGTTAAGGCACTTTGGGTAATCAATCGACTGCATCTTTTGTTTCAATAAAGTTGTCATGAGGCCTTACCACATTCACATGCTGTCAAATAGTTCCATAACTACACAGACTATATCCTCATCAAACTTCCTGTACAAATTGGTTGAAGTGCTTACTCCTACTACATCTTGGTGATCTTGATCTGTGACTTTTGGTCTTCCAGACTGCCATACTCTCTATCTGTCTCTTTAATTCAGAACATGTACCATGTTGTTAATAAGTGTGAACAACCATGGCTCCTTTTCTCACATAACCAGAATCTAAACAAAGATGCCAGTGTGCCTGTATTAGCTAGAACATTTGGCCAAGCCATATGTTTATCTTTGTATTCATTAAGGTTGTAAAGTTGTCACTTGCTTCCAGATCTAATTATTCTGTCAAGAAGTCAAGCTTCTTTGCCCATGTTCTGAAGTTTGTAGTTATTGTGTGCCCCCTGTTCAGTATTATCATTTCTAGTAAATCAGTCAATTGCTTCTTCTTTACTTTATGTTTAAAGTTCTCTTAAAATCTCCCCATGGGTTGGTAGATGTAGTAACAGTTGATTAATTAGGGCTTTTTCTTCCAAAGTCGAAGCAAATTTACCTGAGACGAGAAGAAGCAACAGTCTGTAAAAACAGACATGCACCCAAAGCTCAAGTTCTGGAACAAGTGGACAAACAACCGGGACCTTCTGCCGAAGTTTACAGTCACCGAAGAAGAATTATTTTTAGACACATTCTAGACCGAAAAAAAAAAAAGAATTTTTGTTGTTGCAGTTTTGATGATGAAAACAACACTGATGAATTTGCTGCAGAACAGAAAAGATTGTGATTAAGATTTCCTGCCAAATCCAGTCATCCGTTATAGGGTGAATGTGAGCAAGTTTCCTTAGGATCCAATCTTCCGTCTAGCACGGCTATTATATAGTTTAATGTTCATACATGTTATACAATGTTCTATATAAGCCAATACTGTATTAACTGATGACATGAAAACTCAAGGATGACATAGACTCAAACCTTAGATGAGCATATAAACACACACACGAATCGAGTGTGTTACAAACTGTGAAACAGCTGTAAACGGTGGCATGTCACACACAACATCATGTCAGTTATACTGATATATCAGATAACGGCCATCTTCACACCAGCAGAGTGATCTTCAGAATCCTCTAGGCAGTGACACCCTCATCCCAATCCACCTGTTGGTGTTCTGACAACAGCTGTAGAACTGAAAGAGGTTCAATTAAAAACTGCAGTTTGACACAGAAAGGGGGGTGTGTGTGTGTAAGGGGGGAGGACGACGACCTTAGTAACAATAAGGTTAGTTGCGTATCCTTTACAGGATGTTGCAGAACCAAACCCAACAGCCTCTGGCTGTTGTGTGGTTTTTATAGGCAAATTTACATCCAGTAGTTTGCCTCTGCTTTCTGGGCGGTCGGCTTTCTGGATACCACTGTCGAAACCACAAGTCGCATGGACTGCAGCTGGGATCGAACCCGGCATTACGAAGTGTTCGCATCGACTTAGCTACAGAGCCGACTAGTAACATTAACTGTCTAGTAATAGGTTAGTTGTGTATCGTTTACAGGACATTGCAGAACCAACCTCATCAGCCCCAGGCTGTTGTGTGGTTTCACTGGGCAAATTTACGTCCAGTAGTTTGCCATTGCTTTCTGGACGGTCAGCTCTCTGATACCACTGTCAGAACCAACGCAAGGTGTATGGCCCGCAGCTGGGATCGAACCCGGTACCCCGGCATTACGAAGCTTTTGCATCAACTTAGCCACAGAGCCGACGTCTAGTAATAAGGGAACAAAAATGTAAAACTTCACAGAAAGGTTATAACAGCTATTGTCTCATCTGTGATTCTGGTCATGTAAAAAGCAAAATATCAATCCCATGAAACAAGTCTAAAGGTAACTCACCAATAAATCAACAATGAGGCCACGCAGTTACTTAAAAGGCCAGACATTAACTGCCACAACAAGCAGTTTCTACATGCAACAAAATTTAAAACACCCACACAAAAGCACAAAGGAAAACAAAAATGTCATTCTTAGGCAAAATGTTTCACAGAACTAGAGATTTGTCTACATTACTTCTCAAATGGTGGTATCATGTATGAATCACGAAAAGTGATATTTCTACATTATTTCCCAAAAACAGGCACAATTTAAAAGTATGTGAACCACGAAACAGATGATTTTTCTAGGCTATTTCACAAATGCTGGTTATTCATTATGTCTAACACCTCTCCAGTGATAGAACACAGCCAGTCGCTATTTCACATGGAAATTAACACCATATGCAATTAAATTAAGTACAAAATGTCACCTATACGTGAAAAAAATACCTCTACCAACTCAACCAAGCAAAAAACTAAACACGCTAATAAAACTGATGCACCAGGCTTGCCATTTGACAGAGTGGCTAGAGTATTTACTGCAGTAGCTGGCTGCACACCACCCCAGCTGGCTGCACTGCCCCCCACCCCCCCCCCCCACCTCCCGGCTGCACACCACCACAGCTGGCTGCACTGGTCCCCCCCCCCCCCCCCCCCCCGGCTGCACACCACCCCCGAAATAGTTGCAATGAAAAACAAAAACAGCAAGACTACCATACTCCAGTTAATTGAACTCACTAAGATACCACAGGGCAACCCAGGGTGCACTGGGGAGACATCATCCAACAGTCCCTCACAGACAGAGGACTGGAATGGAACAAAGCCAGAAAGAGAACTGTTGATAGAGAAGTCTGGTGATCTCTCTGGCAAACCTCTACACCCCACAGAAGAAGAGGAGCCACTAAGTAAGTAAGTCAGATGGCACAGAATACACAGGTTGCTGAAGAAGGCTCGTCACCAAAACATATCTTGTTTCATTACTGTGGCATTGTTTTATATGTTCCCTTTAGAAACACAGGGATGGTGTGTGTGTGTTATTTATCCCATAGAAAAACAACCCACAGTTAATGTCAGATCTGGAGAGAAGCCCTAGTCTAAGACTCCCAGTTGTGGGCAAGAACTAGATTTGATACCAAAGCTGCTTTCGCTGAAAGTAGGATGGCAGTCGACTGCGAGGTAGAGAATCTGTTGTCGTGGCCTATACAGGAGGCCATTCCAACTGATATAAGAATATATTTCATTCACACCGTCTCAACAAAACATGCTGAATAAGGTGGGCACAAGCAATGACAGACTGTTTTATGACAAAACATAACTGAGACTGCACTAAAACTGAAGAAATAAAACTGTTCAAATTGCACCTACTAAAAAAAAAATTATATTCTTTTGTCTGTTAGAGATATATATATATATATATAGTTTTTGTCGCATAAAAATTTCAATTCTTTTAGTTGAGTTTACGACTCCCCCTGAATGTTTACCACAATTCTGACTACATAAAAATACTTGTATATTTGTTTATGCACTGATCCTGAATTAGCCATGTTTGATATTAAATTTAAAAATTATGATTAAAAATAAAGAAATATATTCCATAAAACAGCAGCTGCAGAAAATTATTGCATGAATGTATTCAAAATATTTACAATAACAGACATTAAAAGTTTACAACAGATGGTAACTTAAGCTAAAAGTGTACGATAAGTAGAGAAACAACATGTTAAAATTTTACGAATGTTGGTAACACTTGTTTGTATCTGTACACATAGAAAATACAAGCACATCAAATATCTCACGAATGTTGGAACTCACAAATGCTTGTAAACAACATTTAAAAATTTAGGTTTCACAAGACCAAGAACCAACAAATAAGAACAGCATTTTCAAGAGTTCAAAGTTTCAAAGTGAAGACGCCTTGTTGGGGTTTACAGTGGAAATCAGCAACAATAAGTGATCAAATAATCTATCAAATATAAGCGTTTCATGATGTAACAAGTAAATATGATACATCTGTGTTGAATAGATAAAACATAAAGTCACATATTGAAACCCTGGACATTTGCGGAGAACACTGATATCAAATATTGAAGTTTTACAGGCTTTAAATGTTAATTAAGCATTGTAGCTATAAACATATCATACAGCTGCTCTCAGTTTTGATATTCCATGAATTATGGTTAGTTGCGTATCCTTTACAGGACGTTGCAGAACCAACCCCAACAGCCCCTGACTGTTGTGTGGTTTTTCTAGGCAAATTTACGTCCAGTAGTTTGCCATGAATTATACAAACATAGTTTCTCCTTAGTTGTAGCTGCTCATCTTGTGAAGATAACTGCCTGTGAGAACATAATTTACAGTTCATTATCATTCCACGTGGACACGTTCTGAAACAGTGAGCTCAATCTTCTAACACTCCTGTCACAAGCAGTGTCAGGTGTTGACAGGACAGCTATTGCCTGTGTGCATTAAACAATACATGTCTGTCACATTTGGTCTGAACACACTACACAAAATCTGGCTAGATAATTTAACATGCAGTACATCTTTATGAGCAACACACCCATACAATTTTGTGTGGTTAATGTGTTCATTTGGCATCTACAGGGCTGAAACAGCCTGACCCCACATGAATCTCAACATCTCATTTGGCCCTTACTTGCCACCATAAAATGCAATACTGTATTACTAACAAAACAATGCAACAAACATTATGAAGAGTTTTTACATTCATTCAAGCCCGAGTGATTGACCTCAAGGTTATCCCATTACAACCTCATGTTCCCTGTGCACTTAACAATGCATTTACACAGAATCATCATATAATTTGTCAGTGACGTAGCTTGTATGATCTGCCTCTAGTAAATGTATGGGAAAATCCTGTATTTGACACGCTGGCAATACTGATCCCAACTGGCACCGTACTTCTTTCGGCACTGTTCACTGTCTCGTCGCTCTCGGTGGATCAGCAAGACCAAGAAATAAATTGGATAGAAGTACGGCAGGATCTGACCAAAACCTGAAGAGTAAATAAAACAAAAAAGAATGTAAGAGAAACTAGATTCATAATCTACACAGAGCAGACACACTATGCTGTAACTGTACAACTGGCAAGTGTGTTTGTTTAGGGGTTTCACTGATCATCAATCAGGTGCCATCTCCACAATGAAGGTTGGCTGCCTAGAATCTCCAACACGCTCTGTCTCTTGTCCTGGTTGTACACTCTCTCTCTCTCCATCTTTTGATGTCCTCTCACTTGTATCGTTGCCCACCTCTTGCTTCCGATTCTTTCATCCAGTATGGTTTTAAAAATGTGTTATGTCTTTTAAGTATTTCAACTGTCTCTTGTTTATTTATTTCAGTAATTCTCTTTTCATTTGTAGCCTTTCCAGAACCTTTGTATTGGAATGTTTTTGTTTCCATGAAATACAACCTAGTCTTTTGTATACCAACATCTCCAGAGACTTGGTTCGATTTTCTAGTTTTGTATTCATTGTCCATGATTCTGCACTATATAGAAGGACCGAGTACACATAACATTTGACGATTCTCATTTTTAGTGAGTTGTTTATCTCTCCAGCTGTCAGTAACCTGTGCATTTTATTGAAGACAGTTTCACTGATAACTGAAGGGTTCTGGTGGTGGTGGTGCACAAGAACTGGAGCTGCTGCAGGTCAAGACCTGTCTAAAGCTCTCCCTCCCTGGTCATCCTAGACACAAGAACTGGAGCTGCTGCTGGTCAAGACCTGTTTATAGCTCTCCCTCCCTGGTCATCCTAGACACAAGAACCGGAGCTGCTTCAGGTCAAGACCTGTCTAAAGCTCTCCCTCCCAGTGTCATCCTAGACACAAGAACCGGAGCTGCTTCAGGTCAAGACCTGTCTATAGCTCTCCCTCCCTGGTCATCTAGACACAAGAACCGGAGCTGCTTCAGGTCAAGACCTGTCTAAAGCTCTCCCTCCCAGTGTCATCCTAGACACAAGAACCGAAGCTGCTTCAGGTCAAGACCTGTCTAAAGCTCTCCCTCCCAGTGTCATCCTAGACACAAGAACCGAAGCTGCTTCAGGTCAAGACCTGTCTAAAGCTCTCCCTCCCAGTGTCATCTTAGACACAAGAACCGAAGCTGCTTCAGGTCAAGACCTGCCAATACCTCTCCCTCCCTGGTCATCCTAAACACAGGTTCCCAACCGGGTGCCTGGCTGGTGTAGATGGGATCAAGGTTTCCTTCAAATTCAATGTGCATCTGCCTGACAGGCAGTGAACCAAAAGTCTACACCTAAATAACCTAGATCTGTAAAATGGATCTGCAAGCAAAACTGAAGCCCAGGAACAAGACCAAAGTCCAGAAGTGGACGAACAACCAGGACTTTCTGCTGGAGTTTACAGTTGGTGAACACAAAGAAACTGTGTAAAACACCAGGAACATATGGTAATATTAACTCAGAGGTCTACAGAAATATATAGCTGTACGTTGCTGGGCCCAATAAAGGAAACATAGAAGAGTAACACTAAATATAATGAGTTTAACTGGACAAATGGTATAATCAACTGGTGAACATAAAGTTTAGGTCAGCTATGGGGGGAAAAAAGGCCCCATATTTGCTCCACTCCTGTGCCAAAGAAAACCAGACAAACTGTCCATCACTGTTCCTTGTGGAAGAACTGACACAGACTGCAGTCTTTATAAATTCAACAGTATACATACAGTGACACGTTAAATGTGGATAGCAGCCATCAGAAGTGCCAACACAAACAGTCCAACACCAGAAATGCAGTTTATTGTCAACGAAAGCAACAGTTACATGCAATTTATTGCATAAAGCATCACATGTTCTCTAGCAACAGGCCACTCGCTGAATCTGCAGTTCCCAAAACAAACAGAACTGGGCAGTCAAAAAGAATTTCACATGAAATCCGCAGCTTAGTGTTGCGCCATGCACTCAACCCAGCAGCTGGGCGATGGAACTATATCCATTCAGTCTACATATAAATGAAAATGCAACAGCTAACTATTGTCAGAGGCAAAAAGTTGCTATGCCTAAAAGCGGTAAACCTGCCTATCCTCTATGTTGACCAGATGATGAAAAAACAGAGACATAAAAAGGGCCCTGAAATAGCTATATTTAGATGATATAATAAAATGTGAAAAAGGAAATGAAATATGTGATCAATAACTCAACATCAAAGAATCCTGAAAAGTAATTTCAATAATCCTTCCAAAATTATACATAGCACTGTGTCTTAGCCTCGCTAAAAACATTCAAATTCTTCCGGTTAAAATGGACGCTAGACAGCGGCGCTGTTCGGAGCGGAGGCAAATTTTTTGTTTCTACAGGACGGTGGCCGAAGTATTTTTGCTCCATTTGTAGACTGGATATAGTTTCGTCGCCCAGCTTCTGAGTTGAATGCATAGCGTGACCCTGTGAGCTGCGGATTGCATTTGGAATGTTTTTTCGACTGTGACCAACGTGGTGTGAATTGTAGATTCAGAAAATGGCGCGATGCCGGTCGTGCAATGCTGGCGGGACCCGTATTAAAATTGATCGCCCGGGCAACTGCTGATCTGTTGGCAACAAGTTCTGCTATCATCAATGATGAACTACATTTCTAATGTTGGACTGTTTGTGTTAGCACTTCGGATGGCTACCATATGCGTTAATGCGAGTGTATGCTAGATATGCTGAGACAGCAGTCTGTCAATCTTTCCACAAGGGACTGCTGTAAACATTCTGGGTGTTTTTCGCTGGCACAGGAGCGGAGCAAAGATGGGGCGACCCGTTTGCTATGAAGCTGAAACTAAGACTACCAGACCAGACATTCAAATAATTTTCTTACAGTCCACTGTAATTTTCGTAAGGTGAGGCAAGACCTGACATCACAGCACTCAGGGCATTCCCATATGCGCTCCGCCCCTATCTTCAGCAGTCAGCTCAGAGTTCCAATACTAATGGTACTGGCCCCAATCTGGTTATTTGTCAGTCTTGCCGTTCCTCTGAGTGTAGTGAGCCGGCAGACCTCTGGTTACACCCAGGTGTATCATTCTCTCAAAGCCATACTAATCTTTATTATCTTCTGACTTCGTTTACTTGTTCCCAAAGGGATATGACCACATCTGCCTTGTCATGTAACAATTTACCACCCAGTGGTGCAGATTCAGCCAGTCTGTCTGCCTGTTCATTCCCCATCACACCGGCATTGCCTGGAGAAAAGATCCAAAGCATGCCCACCACCCGTGACCTTCCCAGTGAAGACTGCCACTCTGCTCAAAGCAACCCTGTCTTCACCATTCTCAGCATGCTTTCAGAGTCTGTTACAACCAGGACATGTGTATGCATCTTGTTCTCTAGCTACAGTGACCGCCTCCAACTCCATTCTCATGCTAGATGTTGTGGTATCTCAGGCTGTCCTGCACCAAAGATTTTTCATTGGCTACAAACCGCCAGGCACTTCTCTTTCCTCTCAACACAAAGCCATCTGTATAGATAATCAAATCATCGTGAATTCATGTAGAGAATGTAAGTGAAGAGATTTGTTACCTGTAGTTAGTGACCAGGATAGTGCCATAATGAGGTCACCCAGGTAGTTTGGCTTGCGGCAGAGTCCCCACCATCCAGACACCAGCAGCCTCTTGTTTGTAGGGGTAGGTATAGTCTCTAGTCCTGCAGATAAACACATGCGGCTTGACTTTAGAAAGTAACAGAAAACAACAGTCAGTCAGTCTTCTAGTTATCACCACATGGGTTTCCAGGGCCGCATTGTTGGCGGAAACAAGACCAGAACCCCCCCCCCCCCCCCCCCCCCTACAAACATACCTTTTAAGGTTACAGAGAAGGGGTGTTTCCTTTGAAGTTAGAGTCCCATCTATCTGAGAAGCAAGCAACCAATAGTCTGCATACAAATAAGCCAGATCTGTAATATGGATGTGCACACAAAACTGAAGTTCTGGGACAAGACTTGAGCAGATGAACAACCAGAACTGTCAGCCAGTTTACAGCCGGTGAGCGCACACAAGAAGTCTACAACCACAGTCACCATTATACTGATGTGTCATTATGTTGATGTGCCATTATGCTGATGTGCCATTATATGCCAAAGGGCTTGCGGTGCACTCCTCCATCCTGTTCTATCCCGTGTTATCCTCAGTCTCATGGATGCAGTCCAGTCCAGCACCTATGGCCTCTCTTCTGTTAGCGTTCCTCAGCGTTCAGTCAAACAAGGCCACAACAGCTGTCCAGTGTGGCAATAACAACATCGCAAGTGTATCATCATCATCATCATCATAAGGCAAACTACATACAATGGACGGAAACAAATACACTGCCAGATTTCTTTAGCATGATCTGCCAAAAGGAAGTCATAATGCTGTGTAAAGGTGATGGGTTCGGGTCCAGACAAAAAATGAGACACACACACACACACCCCCCCCCCCCCCCAATGACCTTGGTTCCCAGGTCGGCCCAACCTTGAGTGGGTACCAGGTGTAGTCCTGGGAAGCAAAGACAGCCAGCGTGATGCTGCCCACATCGCCCACCAAGTGCTGATTGGTCTATAAAATATAGGTCTAGCCCTATATGCCTGAAAAAGAGGTCCTTTATTTTATGATCTGCATAAATGTAAGAAATAGAATCAGACATTACATAAGACAGTAAACATAAACAACAGCTGTCTCAATATGAGGTCATGCAAACAGAAATCTGTGCATGTGATACACATCCCTCACAAACAAAGACAGCTGTGTGACATACCTGCAACTGCTGGATGTTTAGGGTCATTTCTGAAGCGGTTTTTCTGCAAGTTGGACAATCGGAAGATGACATAGCCCAGCCCTGAATGTGGAGAAAACAGAACAATACCTTTAGTCTACAGATACCATCTTCCCTGTGTGGATTCTATTATGAAAGGGGGGGGGGGGGGGGGCAGATTCACTGCCTCCCTAACAATCATGTCGTAAAAGCCAACTAATTAGGCGTTGCTTTCAAAGGTAGGTTACATCTGCCTGCGTGGCGCGGTGATTCATGTCACAGGCGTGAGGGGAAGTTAAGTCCAACATGATGATAAGGAGATACTCCGTACATCACTCGGGCGCCAGTCCTTTACTATCCTGGTTGTACGGAACCTCACGCAAGACCCCGGCAGCACGTCCTCGTCGTGCACCACGGATAATGTCTCAAATGAGCATTAACAGAGCTGTCAGGGGATCTCGGAGTTTGGCAGCCCCCAGAGGTGATGTGTCCATGTGGCTCTCATCAGCCGGCCCCCAAACGCTTGGGTGAAAAATGTTATCAAAACTCATTAGGAACATGAGTAGGTTTGCCGAACGTACAGCCAAAATTACAACCCTTGGTTAAAAGACTGCGGAGTAAAGAGAACATTGTTCACTGCACATCCTCTGTTAACCCTCAGTGTCGTCGTCACCGCGCTGAGGTACACCACAACAGCAACCATCCATAGGCTGGCCATTCTTGTACATCCTCGGTTAACCCTCAGTGTCGTCGTCACCGCGCTGAGGTACACCACAACAGCAACCATCCATCGGATGGCCAAGCCTAAATGTCCGACAAAACTAGATCATACGGATCAAAATCTGACCATCAAAATTTGTATTGAACTGAAAAAGACAGAATGTCCACACCCAAAGACCCCACTCGCCCGAGTGTTGGGACAAAACTGATAACGATATGCCTGATGCAGGATGTAAAATTCTGTCGGGCTAACGGCTCGTCAAAGAAATCCAACGTGCGAAGAAAAAAGAATGTACCTATCTGTGTGGTCACAAAGGTCCAAAACCCACGGGCTGCCCCCCGCTGACTTCCAGAGGGCGCAGCCCCTGTCGAGCGGGAGGCCTGATACGGTTGTGAGGTTAAGCAGGCATGTGCAGGACGTGACGATTCCTTGGGTGAGCCCAGAACCAGAGCGCTATGTGCCGGCTCTGCATGCATGGAAGCCTCCTTGGATGGCGGGGAATGCCCATGATCTGCCCCTGCCTTCCCTTGAGGGCTAACTGTTCCACAGGGGGCTGACCCAAAAGGGTACTCTGGGGGCAATACCTGCGGCGAAGGAGACAAAGTGGACACCACACAAATCAGGCAACGTCTCGACCCACACAAAACAATGGCCACAGTCACCCTAGAAATAGGCCTGACGTCTTCCTTCGAAGTCGGAGTACAGCTGCCCATGAGGCAGGGAAATGAAAAACGGTTGTACACGCAAAATCAGGTCCAGGTGAAAGCCAAAAGTCCAAGCGGACGATTAACCGGGACCTTCCACTGAAATTCACAGCCGGTGATCGAGTATAAAAAAAAAAAAAAAAAAATCTGCCTGCAAGACGAGGAACCAACAGATCTGGTGCATACAGAACTCAAGTTCTGGAACAAGTCCAAAACTTTCTAGGCAGTTTATAGCCGGTGAATGTGAAGAAGAAGAGGATACCATCCCAAGTCCTGGACTGTTTCAGACCATGTCAGTATTTTTAAACACCTGAATTTTATGTACACACAGACAAGTGAACATTGTAACCAGTCTTTATCCTGAACATTGTAACCAGTCTTTATCCTGAACATTGCAACCAGTCTTTATACTGAACATTGCAACCAGTCTTTATCCTGAACATTGCAACCAGTCTTTATCCTGAACACTGCAACTAAAGTCTTTATCCTGAACACTGCAACTAAAGTCTTTATCCTGAACATTGCAACCAGTCTTTATCCTGAACATTGCAACCAGTCTTTATCCTGAACATTTAAATCAAAGTCTTTATCAGCTAATAAAGCCAGGACGAACACTCAGCATTCTTTCATCTGATATAGACATATGTATGTGCATACACTTTTGGGTTCATTTCTCATCCCATTCCTATTTTCCATATTTCTTGTCCAAGAAATCAAATCAATGTTGTATCCATTTTCAATCATTAATTTTCTGTGGTTAATTTCTTCTTGTTTCCGTAGAAGTAGTTTAGTTTGTTGATGCAGATTTTGGTTGAACCGGTTGTTAGTTGTCTGTGTCTTTTCCTTTACTTGTTAAGTTTGCGTTCAACTTTTTATTGTATTAGCCAACAGCAGCCACTCCCTTTTCCTAATACCTTATCTCGCAATCTCTCTTACCAATATGGTAGCCAACGATTAATGTGTGTCTCCTTTATCCCGTATCTCTCTTCATTATCTGTGTCCCTCTTTATTCTCTGTGTCCCTCTTCATTCTGTCAATCTGTCTCATGTTCTATCAATCTGTCTCATGTTCTATCAGTCTCATGTATACTGATGATACATGTCTAACTGTACCGGCTAGGATTATATTTTTGTCCAGACAGAAAAATCCATGACCTTTCAGAGGATTCGAACTGGGTCTCCCTACGAGAGTCCAACATTCTTAACAGTTCGGCCAGCAGCTCCTCAGTAAACAATATCATTTGCACTCTTAAAAAAATGTTGCCATTTATCCTTCTATGAAGCACAGGTTCTCAGCCCACTGAAGACAGCCGTTCTATCCTCTACTGTCACTCACCTCATGTCCTCCTCACCTCTAGCTCCCTTTATGTGTGTGTGTACAGGTGTGTGGGGGAGGGGGTGTAAAAACATTTTAGATGTACTGTTTCTCAATGCTCAATGTGTGTGCAATCAAACACAAACATCCTTTGTACCAAATCTACCAGCCAAGTCAATTGCATGATTTAAAAAAAAGTGACAAAGTATTGAATGCTGAATTTGGAATCGACATGACAGCACAGGGGACACTCCCATAAGCGCTCCGTGCCCATCTTCAGCAGCAAGCAAAGAGTTCCACACAGCATACAAGACTACTCTAGACAACAGTACCATTAGCATACTGACCCTTGAGTAGCACGATAGGTGCCAAGCAGTACCAGGGCAGAACAAACTTGTTCTCCAGGATAAACCGAGGCTGAAGGCAGTACAGGAATGGCACCCAGGCCAGGTCACCAAAGGCCAGCATAAATCCAAAACCATCGTGAATTATGTCCATTGTGGTCAGAATAGCATCCTAGGAAAAAATACACAAACAACCAGTGCAATTTAAGATTTCAAATACATACTACAAAAGCAAAACACACACACACAACACATTCAATTCTACTGAGTAAGTAGGTCATAATTAGTCATACCAGCAAAATCCTTCTGCATATCATTCTGAGGACTGGGAATAAATCGGAATACGAACTACAAGAAACACAAGTGGGTTTTAGACATGGCAGGGGAACAAGATAAATCAGAAGAAGACTTGCATTAGCAATGCACAGATTAAATAACATGAAGAACCTATGGCAAAGCACTAGTAATAGGTCAAGCTGTAGAAGTTTCTACTGTGTAAAGTAGGTCATGCTGTGGGTCAAGAAGTTCTACTGTGTAAAGTAGGTCATGCTGTGGGTCAAGAAGTTCTAAGTAAGTAGGTCATGCTACTGTGTAAGTAGGTCATGCTGTGGGTCAAGAAGAAGTTCTACTGTGTAAGTAGGTCATGCTGTGGGTCAAGAAGAAGTTCTACTGTGTAAGTAGGTCATGCTGTGGGTCAAGAAGAAGTTCTACTGTGTAAGTAGGTCATGCTGTGGGTCAAGAAGAAGTTCTACTGTGTAAGTAGGTCATGCTGTGGGTCAAGAAGAAGTTCTACTGTGTAAGTAGGTCATGCTGTGGGTCAAGAAGAAGAAACATGTCAATATTCTACATGGTCTGAACATCAAGGAGAACCGGCTCCTAACAGCATCCTCTCCTGAAAGCTGAGACAGCTTGGTTATTAGTCGAACCATCCCTACCATGTATGGAAACTTTGGATAGCCTGTATTTCTTCCAAACTTTCTAGAAGGGCTGATCAATACTTGAAAATGTATGCCTCTATTGTGAATTTATTCCGTGAATAAAAGCAACACAATACTACCACACTGTGTCCACCTCATATAACCACTACCAAGATCTTTACACATTTAAAATATACATTCACAACATTTGATAACTGTGACTTCTGGAAACGTGCACAGTACAAAAAGTATCTTCCCATCCAACTGGTCAAATACTGTAGAATACTGTAAAAGAAAGAATGATATTCCCACACTAAACTGGTCAATAAGAATATTCCCCCCCCCCCCCCTAACATTCTTTAAGTAAAGAATATCTACCCGCACACCAACATTCTCAAAGTCAAGAATATCTAACCCCACACAAACATTCTTAAAGTCGAAGATATCTACTCCCACACCAAACTAATCAGAGGGAAAATATAGCAACGGAGGGTAATATCTTAAACAGAAGACTATAACAAAGGATAAAAATATCTCAAAGATAAGACTATCATAAATGATATCTTAAAGGCAAGAATAACACAGATGAGGATAATATCACAAAGTGAAGGTTATCACAAAGGATGATATTCTCACCCCAAGCCAGCCACTGAATGGCATTTGTTTTGACCTCTGGTGACATGTCACACTGAAGTAAGGTAAAGGTCAGAACTCACCTCAAACCAGAGGGCGTCTGCCACATATAAAGTCTGAAACAGCGTAACCAAGGCCAGGTTTGGCGAAACGGTTCCGGTTTCCTGGTAAGCTTTCACCACCATAAGCCAGTCGAGAACCACCCAACCAATGAGACCAGGTCTCAGCTCACAAAAAAACTTCAAGTCCAGCGGGCCAATTCGGGGGTTCAGCTCACGTCCAATGAAGAAGTCGTAGATTACATTGCCTAGTCACGAAAACAAGAAAATTATTATTATTTTTTTAAAGAACTGTACTGTACCATCACAAAATATGTTGCTGCATGGCAAGTGAAATAAAATTAAATTGTAACTTTAAGAACAAGTATCAGTCTGTTCTTAAACAGCATAAAATTTATGTGCCATACCTCGCACTGTATATCCTAGATATATAAAAAGATTGAGCTGTTCCATTTTCTATGTATATTTAACATACACAAAACAATTGCCCTCCAGCCTGGTGGCCATGTTATTAAATAACCAACAATGTCTCCCCCCCCCCCCCCTACCCTCCCACTGACAGATAAGCCAGTCAACTGAGTCCAGAACAGGGACCAGGAAGAAGTGGGGGCAGGTGTGGCGTGACCATCCCATCCATCAAGTCTATCCAATATTCTGCTGCTACCATATGCCCAACAAGCTTCTATGCATGGAATTAGTCAAGGACATTTTTCTTCGCTTTCAGGCGTACTGGACCCATAGTGCTAGACCAATCAGCACTTGATAGGTGATGTGGTCAACACCATGCTGCCGCCTTTACCTCCCAGGACATCACCCAATACCCACTTAAGGCTGGGTCAACCTGGCAGCCAAGGTCCTTTTTTTTTTTAAAAGTCCGGTTCTGTTCGGACCCCAACCCACACCTTTGGACCCGCATCTAGCCACAACATTGTGATGGCTCCCTCAAGGCATGGAACAGTGCCTTCTATTTCTTCTTCTTAGCGTTCATCAGCTGTAAACTGTGACCAAAATGTGCAGTTGTTCACCCACTTCTAGACTGTGGTAGTGTTCCAGGCAGCATTTGAGTTTTGCATGCACATTTTTCACGTATCTGGCTTATTTATGTGCAGACTGAGTTCCTTGTCTTTCAAGCAGATGCACAAAAGAAACGTCGATCCTATCTATGCTGGCCAGATTCCCAGGTTGGGGAAAGGTTTCTAGGATGACCACAGAGGGGTGTTTGACAGGTGTTGACCAGTTTGTGCCCTATTACATGTGTGGTTTTGCACCAGGCTTGTTATTTAAATGACAAATATAAAACATCAAGTGCTTCTGTTAATGTCAAAGAAGTCTGTGCTCCCATAAATCTTTCACACTCTCAGGAATGTTTCATGACTGTGGGTAAACTTAAAGCAACCCACCAACAGTGCCTGCATGGATGTGTCTGGAGTGCTGTGCCGATAAGCTAACTCATAACTCACAGCTAAAACATGCACGAACCCACAACCTTGACCACTTCCACTTCACTACGGAGACCCCTCCAAAAAGTTGACAACATCCTTACCTGTGTTTCCTCCAGGAGCTAGCTTGGAGGGGCTGGCGTATCTGGACTTGACATAGAGGAAGATGCTGAGGATGAAGCTGAAGATGATGGCTGAGGTCAGGAGAGGGATGAACTTGTCAATCACTTTGGTCATTGGACACTCAAAGTACACGGCTGTTGCCAACAGCAGCAAGCTGACTACTAGGGCAAAGAAACCTGAAACAGCAAACCAAGTGTTAAAGATGAGATGTTTAAAGAAACCTGAAACAGCAAACCAAGTGTTCAAGATGAGATGTTTAAAGAAACCTGAAACAGCAAACCAAGTGTTAGGAGATGAAATGTTTAAAGAAACCTGAAACAGCAAACCAAGTGTTAGGAGATAAAATGTTTAAAGAAACCTGAAACAGCAAACCAAGTGTTAGGAGATAAAATGTTTAAAGAAACCTGAAACAGCAAACCAAGTGTTAGGAGATAAAATGTTTAAAGAAACCTGAAACAGCAAACCAAGTGTTAGGAGATAAAATGTTTAAAGAAACCTGAAACAGCAAACCAAGTGTTAGGAGATGAAATGTTTTAAAGATACCTGAAACAGCAAACAAAGTGTTAGGAGATGAAATGTTTAAAGATACCCGAAACAGCAAACAAAGTGTTAGGAGATGAAATGTGTAAAGATACCCAAAACAGCAAACCAAGTGTCAGGAGATGAAATGTTTAAAGAAACCCGAAAGAACAAATTAAGTGTTACACATAAAACGTTATTTTCTTTTCTCTTCTCACCATGCGGGATCCGGAGCCCCATAGGGAAACAATAACAGACATGCTTACCCCCCCCCACAACAAGCATGTCATAAAGGGCAACTAATTAATTCTTTGTTATGTGCTAACTCCTTTGGTACCAGTGATAATTTGAATTAGTTATAAATGTGCATTTGTGTGCCTCTCTTTTCGTTCCATCTTTGAGTCTTATTTTCGTCTCATTCTTGTTTACCAGCTATAAACTGTGACGAAAAGTTCTGGTTGTTTGTCTACTTCTGGACTTTAGGCCCCTTCCAGGACCTGAGTGTTGTGCACAAATTTGTTTTACAGATCTGATTTATCTGTATGCAGACTGTTGGTTCCTTGCCTCTCAGACAGATGCACTCTTGTTTTCCCTACAAAAGGACCCTGGAACACTCACAGGAACATCTTTTACTTACATTTTATGTTCATTCAGTTTTCACAAAAATATATTCTAAAGCATTGATTCTCAACCCTTTTTTGGGGTCGAACCATCCTTTCACAAGGGTCGCCAAAGACCATACAAAAACAGTCATTGAAGTTATGAAGGAAAATAATTGTTTGGTGGGTCGCCACAACAAGAGGGAACTGAATTTAAGGGTCGCTGTATTAGGAAGGTTGAGAGCCATTGCTCTAAAGTGATTCCCACCTTTGCCCACAAAAAAAATTATTTGCAAGAGTCTCACCATTACACCTGTACTGCAGCCGACCTCCAGACTTCAGTGGCTGACCTTCAATAACACGGCCAACTGGAAGAACTGCCAGAAATGCTTGAAAGAAAAACCAGCCCAGAAAGATGAGGGCTGCCTCCACTTCGAACAAAGATGTGATCACCTTCTTGGATAGTTTAGGGAGCTCTAGAACTGAACATTTTCCCTGTGACAGAAGGTACAAAATTATTGATGGTGGCTTTTTATTGGTCTGCATATAATTAGCAATAATCACAATTGACATCTGTGGCTGAGGTGTTGTGAATGAGTTTTGTAATTCCAAGATGCAGAGTACATTCCCAGCTGCAAGCATTTTGGCAGCAGACTAAACAGCACTGATTTCAACAATATTTTATAGCCAACCGTTTAAAAAGCTAGGGCAAACTGAAAGCAAAACTGATTAGAAAAATCATTACTAGCTAAAGTTGCACTTTTGTTGAAACAAAAACATGATTTTCAGTGCCTTGGAGTTTGTGTTAATGCTGTTTCACTGTATCACAAGAGGACAAAAGGAAGTGGAAAAAAAAAAAGCAGATTCCAGAAAGATTAAAAACATACTGTAGAAAATCAGCTGCATCAGCAACTAGCAAGACACTAGTCTGTTGACAAGCATAATGATCGATGCCCTCTTTACTCTATGGAGACCGTATAAACAAAGTGGTTGCTATCAGAAATACGTCAGTGAAGCAATTTTTGAGTATTCGTGACTGTACATGTGGTTTTGTTGATTTTTATAATGGGCTGATGAAGGTTCTGTAACCGCAACATTCACTTTCTGTTTGTGTTTTGTTAAACTGTGAAGCTTGCTAGTCAACTTGTCATGTGATTTTATATCTTTTAGTGATGACTCTTGACTCTAGCACAGACTTTCGATAATCCGTGCAGTGTGGTGGTAGTCATGTCTATGCACAACCTTCTGTTTTGTGAACTTTCAATCAGTACTGACACAGATGATATCCCCTGCCATGAAGTCAAACTGTACAACATCCTCTCTCTCTCTGTTTCCATCTGCCTCTTTTCCCCCACTCAAACTTCTCCAGCATCAAGGTGTATTCAGTTTTCTCCTTCTCATGTCATCATCAAAGAATGCAGATTGTCTCCTGATGCACTATGAACTATATTTATGTAAACCATTCAACACTTGTTTTGTAATCGCAAGCTTCTTATTCAGCACTATAATTCTTTTCTACCTGCATTTTAGGTCTTTTTCTACCTCTTTTTACCTCCAGTACAGTAATTATCTGGTTATACAACGATTTGACAATGTATTATCCAGCTCCAGAATCTTTTCCTCACCTCTTAGCCTGCCGGAATTTGTCCGGTTCTCTCAGACATCGCCACATCAGTGATGCTGTCATACTTTTTTCGTTCATCCGAGTGACTTAAATGGGCTGTGTCTGTTTACAGCAGGGTTGCCTTATTTGTGCCTTTTGGCCGACACATCCAACTTGGTCGAGCATTTGTTGACCAGGTAAACATCCTTGTGTTTGGAGGGTTATGGAGTATCGCTATTTGTTTGGTGTTCTCTTCGTCCCTTTATCTACAGGTGTTGCCCCTGGAGAACCCGCCCAGGGCATCGGTGTGTAGACCGGTCGGTCCTCAAGGGAAGGCAGGAGCAGATCATGGGCATTCCCCCGCCATCCAAGGAGGCTTGACCTACACACAGCGCTCTGGTTCAGGACTTATCCAAGAAATCGTCGCGGATTCTGCGATACCATGCATGTCCTGCTACCAGTTAATGAGGGTAATCAAAGCAATGTTTCCCGTTTGTAAATTTGAACAAAGACACACAAAAATAGATTGCATAATTTATTGCCTTGCATATCTCACTGTATCTCATCAGGCGCAGGTGACGAATCACGGAAGCTTCGGGAAATTTTAGGTCACTGGTTGACGTATGAAGGATTGAAAATTTGTCCTTAGTCACCACGTGTCCAGAATTTAGAAGATGGTGTGCTATTGCAGAAGGGTGATCTTTGCGGCCAGTATTCTCATTCTAAATATTATTTTGCATGGCTTTTTCTACCCATGCTGGAATGTGCTCAGCGACTTGTTTCTCCAGGCATCGATCCGTTCTGCCCACTTAAGCAGCTTCACAGCTACATTTAAATTGGTAGATACAATTAGATTTGGCGTATGTCAACACTGGTTCCCGCTAGAAAGGCAGCAAGAAACGGAAAGATTCTACTTCATTAGGTGATGGCCTAGAACAGGGTTATTCAACTGGCAGCCCGCAGGTTGCTGCTAATTATATTGTATTAATGATCTTTCTAAGCTGGGGTTTGAGCCTCTGGCTCACGATGTCTCCCACTGACAAAGTTTTGGTCCTTGAGTGAATGTAGTTAAACAATCCTGGCCTAGAAAGTCTGAAGGCTTTACACTTTCCACTAAGCCTCAGTTTCTGCCTGACAATTTTCATCATCATCATCATCGAGAGCCTTGGTGTTCTGGATTAATTCCACTGATATTCCTCGATGCTTTTGTCTTAAGCCATCCCCCATCATTTCTCTTGGTCTGTCTCTGCTACCAGTGATCTTTCCGATCATCACGATATTCTCCAGTTGGCATTTCTACCTTGTATAAAAACACTAACAACAGACCATGGTATATTAAACCAAGGAAACATGAACACAGTTTACCTTTGAGCAAGTCAAGTTGACATAATATGCTGTTAATGGAAGCAAAAACAAGAGCAGAAATGCCCCAACTGGTCCCATGAACTCATAATGTGGTTTCTTGCTCTCCACCCTGGGCTGCTGCTCTTTGGCCGGTGTGGCTCGAACGTTTGAAGCAGACTCGGAGTTCACTTGCTGCCTTCTGTAGGACACCTCACTCTTTTGCTGACGACAGAAACAAAGTAGACAAAGCTGAACAAGGTGCTGGGGCCAGGTTATGGTGGCAGTTAGAAGACTCAATTAAATCATGTCTGCTTGGTACTAATAGTTAGGGGGCTCTGGTGGTGTAGGGGCTAGATGCTTACCTGCCAGCCAGATAGTTGTGGGTTCTTCGCGTTCGCATTCACCGGCTGTAAACTCCACCGGAAAATTCTGGTTGTTCCCTCCCCCTCCGGACTTTAGACTTGTTCCAAAATCTGCAAGTTGTGTGCATAACTGTTTCACAGATCTGGCTTATTTGTATGCAGACTCCTATGAGATGCCCGTTAGAGAGGGAGTGGGTGTATTCTTGTTTTCCCCCACAATGGCGTCCCGGAACTCGCTAATTTTATCTCAAAAACAACCGTGACTGCCTGTTCGACCCAGTTTAATATGGGTACAGGGTAAAGTCCTGAGAAGTAAAGGCGGTCGGCACAATGTTGACCACATCACCCAGTAAATGTTAATTCCTCTATTAACAAACAAACAAAAAACAGTCTAGCATCATATGCCAGAGGCGCCATTGTCGTAAACAAACAAACACACAAAAAGGGTCCATCCTTTGCTGTATGTAGATAGTGAGTGAGTTAATGTCTAAAACAGGTGCTGCTGATACAGGAGTTGGGATATATTTTCTAATCTGACATCATCTCAATACAGTGATGAAATGTTACATGGACCTATTCAAGATGAACTCAACTTACCTCCTCCTTGCGTGGAAGCATTCTTAGTGATGATCTAACTGGGGTAATAGATGGTCGTTCTTGTACTGCTGCTGCCGCTGCTGACGACGACGATGAGGCTGATGATGATGTCAATACTGATGAATACACAGCTGAGGTGACAGTCTGTTTGGTTAGAATGACATCCTTGGCTACTCTTGAAGGAGATTTTGATTTCCTCCGCCCAGGAGACTTTTTGACGACTGCCTGTACAAGTCAGAAGAGGTTGTCTTGAAAATCAGATATTTTACAAACAGAAATGTGGATTCTGGTAGAAAGATGGACAGATACAGGTGTGGGGAATTTGGGGGGGGGGGGGGGGGGGAGGAAGGGAAGTGTGAAGAGACAGTGAGAAGGTGTTCGGGAAAATGAGAGAAGGGGTAGGAGAAAAAGGAAAACAGAGAGGGAGGAAGATGGAAAGATACAGGTGTGGAGAATGGAGGGCGGCGTGAAGAGACAGTGAGAAGGTGTTTGAGAGAATGAAAGAAGATGTAGAAGAGAAAGGAAAGCAGAGAGGGGGAAAGATGGACAGATACAGGTGTGGAGAATGGGGGGGGGCGTTAAGAGACAGTGAGAGGGTGTTTAAGAGAATGAGAGAAGGGGTAGGAGAGAAAGGAAAGCAGAGAGGGGGAAAGATAGACGGATACAGGTGTGGAGAATGGGGGGAGGGCGGCGTTAAGAGACAGTGAGAGGGTGTTTAAGAGAATGAGAGAAGGGGTAGGAGAGAAAGGAAAGCAGAGAGGGAGGAAGATGGACATAGCAAGTAAATATTGTCTGGAATGATGGAAAGGTGCCAACTGAGCAACTCTGACTAAACATGAGCAGTACAAAGATAAACTGAATGAACAGAACAGGCTGAATTGAGGACTAAGTGAATTAATATAATCCATTTCAGACAACTGGTTAAATTATCACCAAAGTTCATCCTATTTCATTATTACTGTGTGAGTCAGAATATCCTCCTCCATCTTCCTATGTCCACCCTTAAAGGGGTGGCTGACACATTGGGTTGTGGTTTACAGCTAGGCTGCAATTATGGCACCTTTTGACCAACACATCTGATTTCAGCAAACTCTATGAGAGGCCGGTCTTTCCATTTATGAGAGGCCGGTCTTTCCATTTATGAGAGGCCGGTCTTTTATTTATTGTTTATTTCCCTCTAATATGAAACTCGGAACCCGACTCAAAGAAATCCCAGCATCTCCATCGTTTCAAAAACTCAAGGTAGATATTCGGAATGTCCCGGTGAGGTTATAAAACTGTATTCAAACACCTACCTTAATTGACTCCACCTCTACTTCTGACACAGTTGGCTTGGGTTTTCTGCCAGCACTGCGACTTCTGCTGCGTGACTTCGTCTTTGTGCGAGAGGGTGACTTGTTACGACCTCGACCTTTTGGTCGCCCAGGTGATTTTGATGTCTGGGAATTTAACAACAAACAATGAATGTGTACTTCAAGAGCTCTACAAATGTATCAGAAAATGGGAATTGCTGATCGTGGAACCTGATCAAGTGTGATTATTACAAACACTTTTCACATCTTCTGTTTTTTTATCTCTTTCCAGACAATAGTGTTACAGTACTCAGGGGAAAGGTGAGACCGATAGACAATTAGACAGTTACCGGTAGTACCATAGGAATTTAAACTCTCTGCTTGCTGCTGAAGATGGGAACGGAGCGCTTATGTGGGTGTCCTGAGTGCTGTGATGTCCATTCTTAATTCAACATACTGGTTACAGGGTGCTACTGACAAGCATAGGAATAACAGCTCAGGTTAGGGACAAAGCTCTTCATCTCAAAGCACAAAGCCATGGCTTTACTGTATATCAGGGCTACTCGGTTAACCAAGTTTACGCAGGGACAGAAATTTAGAAAATGGGGATGACATGGGCCAGAGACCATAGAAGGATCATGAATGCGATACTACTGGCAATAATCTGTGGGCCACTCGCTAGGCATCCATGGGCCGCCAGTTAAATAGCCCTGCTGTGGATACAATGTGTTGTCCATGCAGCAGTGATCCCTCCCTCGGTCTGCCTCTTTACTCCAAAAGAAGGCCGATACCAATACACCTGGAAGACAGACGTATCAGAAAAGCTGTGCTATGTCTGTCTGTCCAACTGCTGGGGCTTCCCACCCAGACTAGCTGCAGCTAAGAGCAACATCTGCCCTGCCATAACATTCCTACAAAGTTTTCAGGTTGTATTTCCTTGTCCTAGGATAAGTCTGTGGCTTAGGCGTTACGAACACGCTTTGTAATGCCGGGGTGCCGGGTTCAATCCCAGCTGCGGGACTTGCGTTGGTTTCGACAGTGGTATCGAGAAGCCGACCGTCCAGACAGCAATGGCAAACTACTGGACGTAAACTTGCCTAGATAAACCACAACAGCCAAAAAATGCTGAGGTTGGTTCTGCAACGTCCTGTAAAGGATACGCAACTAAACAAAAAAAAGTCTAGTTTCCTCCCCAAAATCACTGCTCCGCCTGAAGCCTCAGCACAATGTGAGATGTCAGGTTTGGGTCTTTCGTAACCCTGCTCGTGACCAGCTAGACTTTGCAGCTTAAGTTGCCTCTGGGTTAAGACTGTCTGCTTCACATCAACCTTCTTTAGATAAATAGGCACAGATACAATCAAACCTAAATGTTTCTACCCATCTTTATTCATCAGAAAAAAAAGGGGCAAATCAAGCCTCTAGCAAATAAGTGGGTTCAAATCCAAATGGAGCCAGCATGTTTTTAAAACTGACATTGGTCCCCAAATCGACACAGCCTCAACTCTGTCCCAAGTGATGCATAACATGCTCATCAGTTACTACCCAGGCGGCCAATCAGCGTGTGACGTGTACTGGTTTTTACTTTACCAGGTAAAGTCCTAGGAAGTAAAGGCAGCCAGTGTGATACTGACCACCGCTTGCCAATTTGTCAGTACAAAATAGATCTAACACTATATGAAAGATACACCTGAAGGTGTGGTAAAGGCTCCTCTACTTAAGCAAACGAGGAGGGAATAGGGAGGGACAAGAGCAGCTCTGTGGACCCCCCCCCCCCCCCCCCCCACCTTTTTTTTACATTGTGTGCAACTAGAATACTGTAGAGGAATTCAGTGCAATCTGATCTGGACAGTAAAGAAAGACGCGATTTCTAGAAAAAGAGATCGGAAACTGGTTCAGATGAGGACAGACATGGGATACTGAAGACACAATGAGGGAAAACCCCGCAAAATATCGGTGGAGAATCGTTCAGCGGACAGTAGTGAGGGCTCGTTCTATATAGGTCCTGTTGCGTACACTATCGTCTAGAAAGACGGAAACGTGCTAATCAATAATGTTGCGTAATGATTATGCTGAGGTCATCTCTGTATGTTAACGTTATCCATATCTAATCTGCGGCAGAACAATTAACTGCTTGAATATACTTGCAGTGTTTTCTGTGTGCCTGTTATATGTCATGGTCCTTTTATGAATGAGATTGCTCTTACTTCAATCAAGTTACAGAACACCGGATTGCTTCTATATATTTTATACCGGAAAAAAAAGCGTTTTAATTATGAACGAAAACTGTTCTGGTAAGTTATATGAAATTAGTCTATGTTTCCAAGCTGTGAAAACTGTCTGGGAATGGATGAAAGAGTGACAAGATACACACCTGGTGACCGGTAAAACATCACACCATAGTCGCCAGACGGCTTATATAAGTTATTTACATAGAACAGGAAACAGCGCTAAGTTCAAAGGCTGTAGTTCAAAGGTGATGGCTCCGACCTTGTGAGTAAGGTCAAACAATATATAGTCTGTTTCTTTGAGTCTTATTTATATCGGCAATACATATTTCATTACAAAGTACTATCAATCAGTTTGGAAACATGGGAGCCGGAGATCCCTGCGAATGGGAGGCAGACTTAGTGGTCCCTTTCAAGCATGTCGCAAAAGGCGATTACTTATGGTTTGCCGGTCGGCGTTAGTTGGCTTAGGCGTTACGAGCGCGCTTTGCAATGCCAGGGTGTCAGGCTTGACCCAGCTGCAGGCGATTTAGTAGCAGACCGCCTTGCGTTGGTTTCGACAGTTATATCCAGTCGACCATCAAGAAAGAAATGGCGAACTCATCATCATCATGTAGCAGGTCCTTTGCAGAACGTCGCTCTCATTACAGTCTGCCTGAAAGAAACTCGGTCTCTCGCCAGTTCTCCCACCTCATGTATTTTCAAACTCAAGGAGTCACTTATATCCTGTGCCCATCTTCGTGTCGGTCGGCCCCTGCCCCTCCTTCCTGGTACCATGCCTTCTGCTATAGTTTTTTCCAATCCGTTGTGGCGCTTGATATGACCAAAATATTTCAGCTTCCTAGAAAGGATGCTGTTTATTAGCCAATCTTTCTTGATGTTCAGATCTTTTAAGATGTCAATATTTCTCCTCTTTTTTGTCCAAGATATTCTGAGAATCTTTCTATAGCATTTCAGCTCAAAAGCACCTATTCTCTTTAATGGCGAACTAGTGGACGGAAATATTCCTAGAAAAATAATATCCTAAAAATGCTTAGGTTGGTTCTGCAAGTCTGTGGATGTGGTGAGCCGAAAGGCACAGAAATCAGTCTGTGACTTAGGCGTTGTGAACGCACTTCCTAATTCTGTGGTGCCTGGTTCGATTCCAGCCGCGGGAGATTTGACAGAAAATCGCCTTGCGTTGGTTTAAAATGTGGTATCGAGAGTCGACCGTTAAGTGGCAATGGCAAACTACTGAATGAAAAATTGCCTAGTGAAATCACAAACAACTAAGCATTGCTGGTTTGGGTTTTGTAACATCTTTAACCAACAACACAGCATGTCAACCACTCTTATAAGGCAAATGGAGAAGAAATAAATAAATAAAGAAAGAAAGAAAGAAAGAAAGAAAGAAAGAAAGAAAGAAAGAAAGAAAGAAAGAAAGAAAGAAAGAAAGAAAGAAAGAAAGAAAGAAAGAATTCAAACAAGGAGATTAAACAGGAAGAAGTCGTAGTGGTGGTGGTAGCAGTAATAGAAGACCGTGGTATCATTTACAAATTCCTGTCTCCCCATCTCTCTCTCTCTCTCGTTTTCAACTTAAGAATGCAATCCCTGAGATTCTAATATCTATAAAATATAAATAGTGCCCCCGCTCAAATGTTACAAAGTATGAGATGCGTTGTAGACCGAGAGTAAGAGGGAACCACAGCTCAGAGTTAATTGGGAACCAATACATTCATTCATTGTCCTGCTGTGCCAATATATGTGACATAGGGCTCGCAGTCTGTTTCTCTATTCCGCTCTTCTTCTTCCGTTAACTTAGATGATCTATTTCTGCACTGTTGTTTCAGGTATGATATTCAGTTTTATCAGGTGCAGTCAGTTCGATATAATGGATAGAATCCAATCCAGCAAATCTAACACCTCTCATCGACGCGCGTCTTAGCATTCCTCTTGGACGTCCTCGATTCCTTAGTTCCACTATTTCCCATTTCAGTGTCTGTTTGGTGATTCTCTCTCTGTTCGTATATTCTCAGAATGTGTCCAATATAACGCCATCTTCTCTGTCTTATAACTGCTGATGCAACGTTTGTTGGTTTATTTAACGGATCCACATCACGGCACACAGGTAGTAACCTATAAGTGCTCCCTTCTACTTCTGACTCAAGCTCGAGTCTAAAGAATCTCAGCACAGTGCACAAACTCTGCTGCACCAGCGAGGATCCTGAAATAATTTGAGTAGATTTTTAACTCCAAATTTTGCCTGCCTATACAATTGGTTGCCCAGATATTTCTCTTATGTCTTCACTCCTCTTGAATTCATCAAATTTTATGTCCCCCCCCCCCCCCCCCCCCCCCCCCCCCCCCCCCGCGCAGTTTTCTTTTTCTGCCTTTTTAACTGACAATGGAGCAAAGCCCTCAACCCACTCAGGCCAAGTCGTTCTATCCTTCGCTATCACATGCAGCTCCCCCATGTCCTCCCAATTTTTTTTTTGAACTTTACTCTCCAGCTCCCTTCTCCGTGTGTGTGTTTTCTTTATGCCTATGCCCCTGTGGGTTCCAGTGCAAAGACATGAAGTTTTCTCAACGTGTGTCGTATCTAACGCCAGCGTCTTTTCTTCACCTCTTGCTCCATTGAAACTTGTTTAGTGTTCTTCCAAAGCTCTGCATTAGTGATTCCATCATACCATTCAATTCCCTCTATTCAGCGCAGGCACCAGTTAATGACAGTAATATCAAGAGATGGACTAATATCAGACACCAAGAGTGTACGGCCAAACAATAATGACAGTAATATCAAGAGATGGACTAATATCAGACACCAAGAGTGTACGGCCAAACAATAATGACAGTAATATCAAGAGATGGACTAACATCAGACACTGACAGTGTACAACCAAACAATAATGACAGTAATATCAAGAGATGGACTAACATCAGACACCAAGAGTGTACAACCAAACAATAATGACAGTAATATCAAGAGATGGACTAACATCAGACACTGACAGTGTACAACCAAACAATAATGACAGTAATATCAAGAGATGGACCAACATCAGACACTGACAGTGTACAACCCAACAATAATGACAGTAATATCAAGAGATGGACCAACATCAGACACTGACAGTGTACAACCAAACAATGATGACAGTAATATCAAGAGATGGACTAACATCAGACACTGGGAGTGTACAACCAAACAATAATGACAGTAACATCAAGACACTGGGAGTGTACAACCAAATAATAATGACAGTAACATCAAGACACTGGGAGTGGACAACCAAACAATAATGACAGTAACATCAAGACACTGGGAGTGTACAACCAAACAATGATGACAGTAACATCAAGACACTGGGAGTGTACAACCAAACAATAATGACAGTAACATCAAGACACTGGGAGTGTACAACCAAACAATGATGACAGTAACATCAAGACACTGGGAGTGTACAACCAAACAATGATGACAGTAACATCAAGACACTGGGAGTGTACAACCAAACAATGATGACAGTAACATCAAGACACTGGGAGTGTACAACCAAACAATGATGACAGTAACATCAAGACACTGGGAGTGGACAACCAAACAATGATGACAGTAACATCAAGACACTGGGAGTGTACAACCAAACAATGATGACAGTAACATCAAGACACTGGGAGTGTACAACCAAACAATAATGACAGTAACATCAAGACACTGGGAGTGGACAACCAAACATTGATGACAGTGATTTCAAGACACTGGGAGTGGACAACCAAACAATGATGACAGTAACATCAAGACACTGGGAGTGGACAACCAAACAATGATGACAGTAACATCAAGACACTGGGAGTGGACAACCAAACAATGATGACAGTAACATCAAGACACTGGGAGTGGACAACCAAACAATAATGACAGTAACATCAAGACACTGGGAGTGGACAACCAAACAATAATGACAGTAACATCAAGACACTGGGAGTGGACAACCAAACAATAATGATAGTAACATCAAGACACTGGGAGTGGACAACCAAACAATAATGACAGTAACATCAAGACACTGGGAGTGGACAACCAAACAATGATGACAGTAACATCAAGACACTGGGAGTGGACAACCAAACAATAATGACAGTAACATCAAGACACTGGGAGTGGACAACCAAACAATAATGACAGTAACATCAAGACACTGGGAGTGGACAACCAAACAATAATGACAGTAACATCAAGACACTGGGAGTGTACAACCAAACAATAATGACAGTAACATCAAGACACTGGGAGTGTACAACCAAACAGACACAGAAAGTATTGGCAGTCAATTGTATACAACCTACAATGTGAAGACAACACCTAATTCAGTTTACCTGGACCAATAAATTGAGAAACAAAACCACACATAACAGCTTACCTTCCTCGGGCTTGGCATGGCTTCTGTTTTCCCGTCAGTACGTCACTGAAAAAGAAAAGTGACAGATATTGCAGGATGCCATATTCTTCTTGGGAAATTTGGTTGAAAACGTGTAACCCCCATAGTGTGGTGAATTTTCAAACTGGAGACCTTAACTCTATAAAAGTGATCCCATACCCACAAAAGTGGTAAATTTGGCTGTCAGGCAGTAGTAATAATTCCAGCACTCATGTTTTAACCAAGGATGTGGGGGAGGCAAAGAACAGTATATTCAGCACTCATAAAACAGGATGACCTAGTCTGAAGACAAGCACAGACCATAAAATCAAGGGCCAACAGTTTAACCACTCCGCTGTCACCTATGATATGAGAGTTGATATTTTTAACTATTCTGTCCCATAATTAGCATCCCGTCTCAGGAACTGAAATATGTTTTATATAAACTGCTTGTACCTGATCGAATGTAGTGTAACATTAAAACAGTAGTGACTGCCTAATTTTCTTCTTCCTCTACATGTTCCCCGGCTGTGAACTCTGGTGAAAAGGTCTTGTTATTGGTCCAATTCTGGCTTTGGCCTTGTTCCAGAACTAATGTTTTTTGTTTTACAGATCTGGCTGATTTGCACAGACTGTTAGTTCCTGCCCTCTAAGACAGATGCACTCCAACCCCTAATGGGTCCCCGTTTACAATATGCTTGTTGGGGGGGCAGTGGGTCTGTTCTCTTCCCACCCCAGAACCTACACCGGGGAATAAATCCTTGAGGGCCTGGCCCCATGCATGAGGCAGGACAAGAGCTTTGACCTAATCCGTGATTCTGCTGATAGAGCTGGATGACGAATCATGACTATCTATACTTATTACCATGACACATGATGATATTTCCCAAGAAGAAATATATGCAGCCTGAACGACACAATTTTTTTTTAAACAAGGATTTGATGGGCCAAAAGTCTGGGAACCTATGATCTCATCATCATCATCAGGTGCCTTGCCGACTGGCGTGGGCGATCATGCCTCTCCATAATCTGCGATCTCCTGCAGTATGTATCAGTTCGTGTGCCGACACACCTCCATGCCATGCAACAAGACTGTCAAGCATCTTCTCTCGTTGTCTTCCTTTATTTCTCCTTCCACATATCTTTCCAGTGGTCACAACATTTTCTATTTTCCCTCTTCTCATATCATGGCCGAAAAATAATGATTGTCTCCTTCTGATGTCTGCGATGAGTTGTCTTCGGGCTCCCGCCTCTTTCAAAACCTCTTGGTTGCTCTTTTTAGCTGTCCAAGGTATTCTAAGCATTCTTCTGTAAAACCACATCTCTGAGGCCTGTTTGTTTGGCCTGCCTACCGATTGTCCAGGATTCACAGCCGTATGTTAAAACTGGATGTATGTAGCAAGCAAGAATTCTTTTTCTAACTCTCAATGACAAGGATATATTGCACAAGATGTTTTTCATTTGCCTGTCCTATTCTGTTTCTTATCTCAGTTATGCATCTTCCATCTGATGTTATCCATGTGCCCAGATACTTAAATTTCTGTACTTGTCCTAAAATAACACCATCAACTTTTATTACACACTTAGGAATAATTCGTTTCTTTGATACCACGAATTATGATCTACATACCATAATTAAATGCTTTCAGCCAGACATGATAATTCTTTTACATCAAGTTTTAAAAATACTAATCAATACTTTGCATTGTTAATCAACATCAAACATAATTAATTCCAAAAGTAAGCAAACAAACCCATCACAATGCAGTAAAAATGTTTTTTCTGGTGAAACACATTTGATACAAAGCCGAGAAAAGTTTGAGTAAACACTCCACTTTCAATGTCAAATACAAACTGCCACCAAATTACCATAAACATTTGACCCAACAACAACTTTTATGTAAAAAACAAAAACAAAAAACGTTCAGCACAGCAATTTAATTATTATAATAAACCACATTTGAACATTTAAAATGAAGAAAGAACTCAAACTCAGAAACTCAACTCAGTCAAAGACACCCAAAAATCGTTATTTGAATATTTTATTACATTCTTACAAATGCTGTGTACAAAATTTTATTTTTTATTTCAAAATGTGTTTTCATCACAAAACATTCTTTAATCACACCTAAAATTCTGTCACTGTGTTTATTGCTTCTGAATTTTATTACATTCATACCAATGTTTCATAAAATTAACACAGATAATTTGTTTATTAATTAAAACTAGAGCTGTACCGAACATTTGCCTCTACTCGCTTAGGGGCCGAACAGTAGACCTAATAACTATTCGATATTTAGTCGAATACGAATAGTGGTTACCTTACACCCGCTTCTGCATACAGTGCTGACAACATGGAACAACTGATTTTGTTGAAAGCTAATGCAGCTTTCATGCATTAACTATGCTGTCAGTGAGTTTTAAAGCTTAGTTACTGGTTATAATACTTAGAATACTTTCATTCCTAGTTATTAGTTACCAAAGATTGACTATAGGATGCAAAACAAAATGTTTTTAAATGTTTACTATTCTGTACTACATTTTGTGAAGTAAAAGTTCAGTGTACATTTGACATTGTGAATGTTTTTTATATTAATTTATACACTATCCACTAATTGTATTCGCATTCGGCCGAATAGTTGGTCACGTTATTCGTATTCGGCTGAATAGTGATAATCACCTATTTGGTACAGCTCTAATTAAAACTTATAGTTTTAAAAAAATCCTCTTATCTTTTCCAAACATCACTTCCTATTTATACTTCTGTAAGTCAATCCAAGAAAAGATCACCGTTATTTGATTTTAGGAATATCAGTGGGTGCCATATTATTTACAAACACAAAACGGCACATGCAGTGCCTGCTGTAGCTTTATCACTGACAAGACTTTCCTATCCATAATGTATTTTTTGGATCAATGTTAAGCAACACCATCAGGTGCCTGGGCAGTCATGTCCCTTCACTTCTTGCATCCATTCACGTGCTGACACTTCTTGATGCCATGATGAAAATATGTCTTCTCCCCGTATCCCACTGACAAAAATAAGTGATCAATTTTACTTCACTTAAAATATTGGTAGTATTTTTACAAATGATTAAGCGCAAAGATGTTTTGCTGTACTGAGGCCATATAATGTCCCAAACCTTGAATACATCCGCACACACATACAGAATACCCAAAGCACCGGTGGTATTTGCAGGCCCTGTTGACACGAGCTAGAAGACGTGTGGGATGACCTGTTTGGGAACTTGGTGGGTGTATTTGGTCCAGGCTCCACCGAACATGTTCTGCTTGAACTGACTGCTCTGTCTCAACCACATGTAAACGGTCGCCAGCATCACCAGCAGCACGATGACCGACAGACCGCTGAAACCTGGCAGACAAAATGTCTGTTGATTATCTCAATTAGTACATTAGAGATGTCTTTGAAGAGCTAAAAAAGTAACAAGTTTTACAACAACAACAAAACCAGAAGGTTAGGACTGACACCAGTCATATAATTCATTAAATGAAACAGAAACAGAAAACAGGGTTTGGTGACCTGGTGAGAAAGCTCTGGTACTACCTGGCACAGCAAGTCAATAAACATATACAATAAACACGGACCTAGTGAAGACTAAACACAAGATGCAACCATGGCGTCAAGAACAGACTAAAAGAAATGAACATCCACTGACAACACATGAGAAAGAGAAGACAGATAATCAAAGATTCCATTCCCCCACCTCTAGGGTTACTTGCTGCTAGGTCCACAGTTCTAATGACCCTCAGACAGGCTGTGGGTGATGTGGTCAAGGCTGTGGGTGGTGTGGTCAAGGCTGTGGGTGGTGTGGTCAAGGCTGTGGGTGATGTGGTCAAGGCTGTGGGTGGTGTGGTCAAGGCTGTGGGTGGTGTGGTCAATCAAGGCTGTGGGTGGTGTGGTCTAGGCTGTGGGTGGTGTGGTCTAGGCTGTGGGTGGTGCGGTCAAGGCTGTGGGTGATGTGGTCTAGGCTGTGGGTGGTGTGGTCTAGGCTGTGGGTGGTGTGGTCAATCAAGGCTGTGGGTGGTGCAGTCAAGGCTGTGGGTGGTGTGGTCAAGGCTGTGGGTGGTGTGGTCAATCAAGGCTGTGGGTGGTGTGGTCAAGGCTGTGGGTGGTGTGGTCTAGGCTGTGGGTGGTGTGGTCAATCAAGGCTGTGGGTGGTGTGGTCTAGGCTGTGGGTGGTGTGGTGGTCTAGGCTGTGGGTGGTGTGGTCTAGGCTGTGGGTGGTGTGGTCTAGGCTGTGGGTGGTGTGGTCAATCAAGGCTGTGGGTGGTGTGGTCAAGGCTGTGGGTGGTGTGGTCTAGGCTGTGGGTGGTGTGGTCAATCAAGGCTGTGGTGGTGTGGTCTAGGCTGTGGGTGGTGTGGTCTAGGCTGTGGGTGATGTGGTCAAGGCTGTGGGTGGTGTGGTCTAGGCTGTGGGTGTGTGTGGTCTAGGCTGTGGGTGGTGTGGTCTAGGCTGTGGGTGGTGTGGTCTAGGCTGTGGGTGATGTGGTCAAGGCTGTGGGTGGTGTGGTCTAGGCTGTGGGTGGTGTGGTCTAGGCTGTGGGTGGTGTGGTCTAGGCTGTGGGTGGTGTGGTCTAGGCTGTGGGTGATGTGGTCAAGGCTGTGGGTGGTGTGGTCTAGGCTGTGGGTGGTGTGGTCTAGGCTGTGGGTGGTGTGGTCTAGGCTGTGGGTGGTGTGGTCTAGGCTGTGGGTGATGTGGTCTAGGCTGTGGGTGGTGTGGTCTAGGCTGTGGGTGGTGTGGTCTAGGCTGTGGGTGGTGTGGTCTAGGCTGTGGGGTGATGTGGTCTAGGCTGTGGGTGGTGTGGTCTAGGCTGTGGGTGGTGTGGTCAAGGCTGTGGGTGGTGCGGTCAAGGCTGTGGGTGATGTGGTCTAGGCTGTGGGTGGTGTGGTCTAGGCTGTGGGTGGTGTGGTCAATCAAGGCTGTGGGTGGTGCAGTCAAGGCTGTGGGTGGTGTGGTCAAGGCTGTGGGTGGTGTGGTCAATCAAGGCTGTGGGTGGTGTGGTCAAGGCTGTGGGTGGTGTGGTCTAGGCTGTGGGTGGTGTGGTCAATCAAGGCTGTGGGTGGTGTGGTCTAGGCTGTGGGTGGTGTGGTCTAGGCTGTGGGTGGTGTGGTCTAGGCTGTGGGTGGTGTGGTCTAGGCTGTGGGTGGTGTGGTCAATCAAGGCTGTGGGTGGTGTGGTCAAGGCTGTGGGTGGTGTGGTCTAGGCTGTGGGTGGTGTGGTCAATCAAGGCTGTGGGTGGTGTGGTCTAGGCTGTGGGTGGTGTGGTCTAGGCTGTGGGTGATGTGGTCAAGGCTGTGGGTGGTGTGGTCTAGGCTGTGGGTGGTGTGGTCTAGGCTGTGGGTGGTGTGGTCTAGGCTGTGGGTGGTGTGGTCTAGGCTGTGGGTGATGTGGTCAAGGCTGTGGGTGGTGTGGTCTAGGCTGTGGGTGGTGTGGTCTAGGCTGTGGGTGGTGTGGTCTAGGCTGTGGGTGGTGTGGTCTAGGCTGTGGGTGATGTGGTCAAGGCTGTGGGTGGTGTGGTCTAGGCTGTGGGTGGTGTGGTCTAGGCTGTGGGTGGTGTGGTCTAGGCTGTGGGTGGTGTGGTCTAGGCTGTGGGTGATGTGGTCTAGGCTGTGGGTGGTGTGGTCTAGGCTGTGGGTGGTGTGGTCTAGGCTGTGGGTGGTGTGGTCTAGGCTGTGGGTGATGTGGTCTAGGCTGTGGGTGGTGTGGTCTAGGCTGTGGGTGGTGTGGTCAAGGCTGTGGGTGGTGCGGTCAAGGCTGTGGGTGGTGTGGTCTAGGCTGTGGGTGGTGTGGTCTAGGCTGTGGGTGGTGTGGTCAATCAAGGCTGTGGGTGGTGCAGTCAAGGCTGTGGGTGGTGCGGTCAAGGCTGTGGGTGGTGTGGTCAATCAAGGCTGTGGGTGGTGTGGTCAAGGCTGTGGGTGGTGTGGTCAAGGCTGTGGGTGGTGTGGTCAAGGCTGTGGGTGGTGTGGTCAATCAAGGCTGTGGGTGGTGTGGTCAATCAAGGCTGTGGGTAGTGTGGTCAATCAAGGCTGTGGGTGGTGTGGTCAATCAAGGCTGTGGGTGGTGTGGTCAATCAAGGCTGTGGGTGATGTGGTCAAGGCTGTGGGTGATGTGGTCAATCAAGGCTGTGGGTGGTGTGGTCAAGGCTGTGGGTGATGTGGTCAAGGCTGTGGGTGATGTGGTCAAGGCTGTGGGTGGTGTGGTCAAGGCTGTGGGTGGTGTGGTCAAGGCTGTGGGTGGTGTGGTCAAGGCTGTGGGTGGTGCGGTCAAGGCTGTGGGTGGTACGGTCAAGGCTGTGGGTGGTGCTGTCAAGGCTGTGGGTGGTGCGGTCAAGGTTGTGGGTGATGCGGTCAAGGCTGTGGGTGGTGCTGTCAAGGCTGTGGGTGGTGCGGTCAAGGTTGTGGGTGATGCGGTCAAGGCTGTGGGTGGTGTGGTCAAGGCCGTGGGTGGTGTGGTCAAGGCTGTGGGTGATGTGGTCAATGTCCCGCTTACCAAGTGGATTTCTTGGTACCCCATGTCAGATTGCAATTACCTGAAAACCAGGACAATTTTTAAAATTTGTCTCGATAGGGATTCAAACTGTTGACCACTGGACCAGAAGGCAAGCATGCTAGCCACGTACTACAACAGGTGTGTGTGCTAGCGCACTCACGTGCGTGCGTGGTGAGGCGGAGGGAAGATACCTGAACAAGAAGGCATTAAACCAAAGACAAAGAGCACATGTGGGAAAGTCCTGATTGCAGTGTTGCCAATTCATTCAGTTATTCAAGAGACTAGGGGGCAAAGACAGCAGGATTAGGGCCAGGCCCAACTCGCAGCAAATGCCGAGTTTATTCTCTGGCCAATATAGCTCTAAGGCTGACTGAGCACCGTTCAATTTGCAGTGGAGGAAAGGCAACAGGGACAAACAACCCACACACATGCAATGCAGTTCTTCTAGCTTGACACCATCAGCACACTCCAAATATTCCTTTCTTAATTTCTGTTCCACAAACAAATTAATGTCAACATACGTACCACACACCACTGTCCAGGATGTCCACATAATGTCAACATACGTACCACACACCACTGTCCTCATAATGTCAACATACGTACCACACACCACTGTCCAGGATGTCCACATAATGTCAACATACGTACCACACACCACTGTCCAGGATGTCCACATAATGTCAACATACGTACCACACACCACTGTCCTCATAATGTCAACATACGTACCACACACCACTGTCCAGGATGTCCACATAATGTCAACATACGTACCACACACCACTGTCCAAGATGTCCACATAATCACGTAGCCCAGGTAATCTGGCTTCTGGACAATCCCCCAGTAGCCACTCACCAACAACCGCCTGCCATTTTGGGCAACAATTGATTTCATTTCTGAAAACAGTTGATATCAGGTTTTTATGACACTGTACAGATTATAACAATGCTCCGTTGACTGTGACATTCAAATGTGCTCATTCTTAGTTATCTGCTAGATCTGTGTTACCACCCTTGGGTGTGGGATGTTAAACCCTCTGGGATTCTAAAATTGTAAGGAAAATGTCTTTAGAAGTAAAGGTGACTTGCATACTGACGATTTCAAACCCCTATGTAGGTTCTGGGAAACCAATGAAAGAAAAAACAAACAAACCCAGACAAGGGCATCGTCAAATTCAACTAGTTAGGGGCGTTTCTTTTAAAGTTGGTGTGCACCTGAGTGTGGGATGAGACACCAAAAGTCTGCATACAAATAAGCCAGATCTGTAAAACAGATGTGCAGGCAAACTCAAGTTCTAGAATAAGACAGAAGTGCATGAACAACCAGAACTTTCCACTGGAGTTTACAGCCATTGAACTAGTAGCAGGAGGAGATGAAGACCACATCATCAGCTGTGTTCTAATGTTTATAGAAATACTCGACTAGCACACCATAAACCCAAGGAATGGCAGAGTGTGGAACAATCCTTTGCTAACACTGTATGAGATCCTAGTAGTTTAAACTCTACAAGCCAAGATTAAATAAGTTATCAGCTGGATTCTAGTCCAGTATCTCCCGCAGATTGTATTTCCAGTATATAACATCAGGTAATATGGTTCCATACAATGACATTGTCACTTACAAACTGATTTGAAGCAGTGAGCATCATATTACTATTGCTGATCTGAAACCAAAATATACTCCCAAAAATAAGCTTCAAAAACAAAAACTGGGTCTTGATAGAAGTATTTTTTGAGTGTAGTACAATGAAAGCACCATTTAAAGGTTGCAGTAATATTTACAGACTCAACATTTCAGAGAGAGGGTTCTTCTTCTTCAACATCAGCCATTCTAAACATTCAGTCCTGTCTGGTCACAAATAGGATTGTGTCTGAGGTCGCCACCGGTTCCCCACAGCTTCTCTAGTAGTGAAGCTTTCCTGGGCCAGATCCACAATCTTTGTTGTGAGTAGTTAGGCCAGTCCTGCAGTATGTGCTCAGGAGTCTTTCTGCTCCACAATCATAGGCAACAGATTCTTTTATGCCTATCCCGTGCAGGGGTGCTCTAAGACCAATGTCCTATCCGAAGCCTGAAAATTAATGTGTTTTTTTTCCTGTTGTTCGCTTAATAGTCTCCATTCTGTCTTCCCCATTCCCCCCCCCCCCCCCAGACTACTTTAAAGCTGTTTTGGTTCCTTGTAACTCTGTTGTGGATGAGGTGGTGCAAGATTACTCCCAGCTTTTGCCAGCTCATCTGCTCTCACATTTCCTTAGTGGGTTCAAAACAAGTGAATGCAAAAACTGTGCCAAACAAAAGCATACTTAATAAAAGCTTATTTTTTAAAAAAAATATTCCTCATAAATTGCTAACGAGATCTTGGACACGTAGCCTTGGGTGGTTACTCACTTTTGAAATTGCTAGGATCAGCAAGGAAGCTTTCTCTCTGATGTAAAGCACTGATGTAAATGACAAAGCCAAACACTGCAAACAAAAGACATGGACATTAGACCTGCCCAATGACTGCCGCACACTTGTGAAGTATGACTTCTAGCTAACAGCAAGAATGCTTGCAAACAAGGGGTACCAGGACATCTCCTGGGAAGTCAAGGCGGATGACATGATGTTTGGCCATATCATCCAGTGTCACCTGACAAATAACAGGATAAGTGTAGCATCATATGTCTGATGCATTTCTGGCAGAAAAAGCATTCTTGCTAATCTCCTAAAGTGTTTATGCTGTATCTGCAGCTATGTCACCGTAGGATCTCTGCACTTCTACTTCTTCAAAAGGGTCAGTGGTGGTCTCCTAAAGTGCTCATGCTGCAACTGCAGCACTTTAACGTTCCCAAAAATGGTCCCCACTGGTCCCCTAAAGTGTTTATGCTGCATCTGCAGATGTCAGCGAACAATCTCGGCACTTCTACTTCTCCAAAAGGGTCCGTGCTGATCTCCTGAAGTGTTCTCGCTGCATCTGCAGGAGCTGCAAACAGTTACTTCCCTCTACAGCCTCGAGCCAGTTGTATGGTTGGTCATTCTTGCTAAAGCCTTCCTGTACCTTTCCTACAATACACTGTGCCAGTATATGTCACAAAAGGACGTCAGTCTATTTTGTCATTCTCCAAATGTGTCGGGCCTCATGGAATACTTTTTTGTCCTTTCCTCACAGGCTTCTAAGACATAAACAGGTGTGAAGAGATAGATATTTTTATAGTTATAAATTATGAGTTAGATTATTTTAACAGCACTCCGGACACATCCATTTCCCTCTCAACATATTCATCAGCGTCATGCGGTTAGTAGTGCCAGTCCTGTGTTGGTTAACAAGATTTTGTGTGCGTCCGGTGTGCTTCTCATGCTCGGCTGTGCCGATCTTTACTCCCAATTCACCTATTCTTAGCAGTGATGTGGACACGCTTCTAAAATCCTCAGAACATCTTATCTCTCTAAGGGCAATGACAATGACTGTGTGATCCATGGGTAACCAGCCTGTCTCGACCCGCCGGATCATGCCCAAAGAGTCACTCAGCACACACACGCAGGAATAGTCCTGTGATCCCAGCCACATGAAAGCTTGTGTCACTGCCATCACTTCCATTGTCATGCTGCTGGGGGTCATGGAGAAGGCACCGCTGGCTTCTTGAACTGTTCTGCCTGAAGAGCGAGCTGTAAATGCCCATTTTTATGGTTATGAATCACTTTCACTGTACAGATCTTCCTCGCTCTTCTTCACGTTCACTGGCTGTAAATCTTGGCAGAAAGTTCTTGCTGTTCATCCATGTCTTGTTCCAGAACCTGAGTGCTGTGTGCATATAAGTTTTACAGATGTGTTATTTGTATGCAGACTGTTGGCTTTGTGCCTCTCAAGCAGATGCACTGACTTTGAAAGAAGCCCCCAAATAGTCTACGCCTGCGACATGCTTGTTGAGAAGCAGTGGGTCTATCCTTGGTTCCCCCATCATGGGAGATCTTTCTACAGACAGATGACTCACACTGCTCTTCTGTTCCAAGCCATTATATGTGATTGCATGCATATGAGTGAGCGGGCATGAGGGAGTGAGCAGGCATGAGTGAGTGAGCGGGCATGAGTGAGTGAGCAAGTTGAAGCCCTTACATTTTCTTCAAGAACTGCAGCACCACCCAGTCATGACCTATGGTCAATATCTGGGCTATTCAACTCAGTTTTGTCAGGGCCCAACATTTTGAAAATGGAGATGGTCATGGGCCAGAAGTCCCTGCCCCAGCACAGAAACACCATCAACACAACACAACCGGCAATGAACCACTGGCCACTTGCTCGGCGTCCGTGCAGATTATCATTAATGTTCCTCCAAACTCCTCTCCTGGTTTAGAAACAAAAATAATACGCCCCCCCCCCCCCCCCCTTTCCATGTCTTCATGAGTACTGGACTTAGAGGGCTAGACTTATACTTTACAAGCCAATCCGCACTCTTTGGGTGTTGTGGTCATCATCATGCCGGCCGCCTTTACTTCCCAGAACTATACCTGGTACTCACTCAAGGCTGGGTCGACCTGGGAGTTCATTTCATTTTTAAAAAAAACAGATCAGCTCTTCCGATCCGCAAGCCAGTGCCTAGCCGCTACATCACAGGGGCTCCACTGGAGACTTGTTAAACATGTTCGTCTACTACAGTAGAAACAACCAGGCAAATATTAACAAACAAAATACTTACAGAAAAATACACAGTCTGCCAGGATAGCTGGCTTAGAGAGTACTATTTCCGTGGTAGCTGCATAATATAGCGGCAGCGAATGAAAGAAAGGCAAATACATCAACACACGCATCAACCAGAAGAAGCCGAGGCCCTCATATAACACGAACGGAGCAGCTTTGACAAACTTCTGGAGAAGACAGGCATCAATAACATACAGTGACTACTGCTTACTCTTCACACACTTGCAGACAGTGACTTCAATGAACACTAAAACTTTGTTAACATGAACTAGTGGAAAAAGAACTCTCAGTTAACATGAATAAAATCTTTGTCCTAGCAGGGATATTTCTTTTGCGTTTATCTGAAGATGTAAATGTGCTGTCCCTGTGAACAACATGTCTGCGATATTTCTGCCTTCCGCAGGCATTTGTTGCCCAGGTTAGCCATTCTAGTGCAGGGATATATTATTAATAATATAAGTCTTTATTTAGCATAAACTTCTTTCAACATAAACTCAATTTTCACTGCGCTGGAATTTGTGTTAAAGAGGTTCTACCATATTCACAGAACAGAAAGAAAGCTTAAGACTGATAACAGCCTTGTACAGTTTCTGCTGTAACAAGGTTGATTCATGTACAATTTTCTGGTATGTGAAGAGGGCTGATCACATTGGATTATGCAGTTTTCTAGTTTAGAGTTTCTCGTTATAATTACCCATCTTTTAGAGCAGTGGTTCTTAACCTTCCTAATGAGGCGACCCTTTAAAAGTTCTTCTTCTTCTTTGCGTTCGGTTTCGTATGCTCAGATCAGACCAGCAGTAGTTCCTCGACCATACAATTTTTTTTGCTGCTCCTTTATAATTTCAGTGAATGTGTGTTTTAGCGATTGCTGTGAAAGAATCGTTCGACCCAAAGATTAAGAATTGCTGTTTTAGAGCATCAACAATTCCAAATGTACATGCGCCAAAGTGTTGGAAAATAGAAAACAAAAATACCCACTGCCAATACTGTCAATCACTCAGACAAGGCCAGGTGTTGTAACAGACTGTCTGTCATAATATCTTCTGCGGTTAATTTCATGGAAGCCGCCATGGTATAGTGGTTAGATGCTAGCCTGAAGATACTAATGTCGTGGGTTCAGGTAGTGACCGTCTGAATTTTTTTCAAAAGTAACCTTGGCTTTGACCCAGTCTTAAACGAGTACCAGATACAATCCTGGGAAGTAAATATGGCCGCAGTGATACACATCATCTAACAAGTGAAGATAGGGTTTTTTTGACAGTTCCATCCCAGAAAGAGTTATTTCCCTTCCCATACATTCCTCGTGTCTCAAAGGCCAGTCCTATGTTGCGGGGGTATCACGATGAATGGGAAGAAAAGTCACTCTTTCTGGGGCGGAAAATGTAAAAAGAACTGCCAACTGGTCTTTACAGATCTAGCCCTATATGCCTGAAGGTGTGTGAAAGGGTCCTTTACTGACTTTAATTAGTGTCACATGATTTGAGTCTAAACAAAACAAAGTACCACCTTGGTACAGACCTCTCCTCTCTAAGCAAAGAAAACCAGAAGAGATTGCAGAGCAGTTCTAGAATCTGACATCTGTGAAGTGGTATAGTATTTCCTGGAATGTTATCCAGACTGAGGACTGAGTGCAACATGAGCACACCTCATACAGCAACATGAACATGTACCTCATACAGCAACATTTACGTACCTCATACAGCAACATGAACATGTACCTCATATGGCAACATGTACGTACCTCATACAGCAACATGTGGCCAATGTATAGGAACTGTGTGATCAGCAGGAAAGCCACGGGTGCAGTGATGTGGCGCTCTACAATGACGTTCAAGACAATCAGCTGGTCAAGTAGGGCCCAGGCCACCAGCCCAACATGAACGTAAAAGAAATATTTCAGCTCCACGTGGCCCAGGTGTACACAGGTGTTGCTCCCATAGAAGAATGACATCAGTGAGCACAAGTCTGTCAGTGAGAAGAAACACAAAGTATGAATGTACTTTTGTCACCATCAACAAATAGATATCTCACAGAACACTGTTCCTGTCACAACTTGGAAGAGAGTCTCTCAGTCTCCTATCAATTCACCATCTTCGTGTACTGTCAAGCTAAAGATGTCTCCAATAGCTAGTGTCTACTTTCATTGTGGTCAACCCCTGCCTCCTCTAACAGAAACAATGCCTTCCATTACTTCTATTTCCAGCTAGTGCAACCTTTCAAACGATGGAAGCATTTCAACATCCGAGACATGAGGCTATGAGTAAGCCACTATCCTGTAACACTCTAAAAGGGCTGCTCTTCTTTCCCGTCTCAGACACTGCAAGTAGTAACAGATCTAACAAACAGGTGAACTGTTTTGAGGGCATCCAGTTTCACACAGCTATTGTTTTTGGGCCAAGTTGTGTGCAGATAATTCCGGTAAAATATGCGGATTTTAAAACAGGTCAGTGACTGTTACCTTTCAAGGGCATGGGACAGATTCTTGCTACACAGAATAGAAATGTGAAGCCCCAGAGACTACACCAGGATTTCCCCCACACACGATATCATCTCGCTAGTTCAGTGTCTTCTTATTCTTCACGTTCATGGCTGATAACTCAGGCGAAAAAGTTTCAGTTGTTTGTTCATTTCTGGAATCTGGTCTTGTTCCAGAGATTGAGTTTTGCACGTACGTCTATTTCCCAGGTCTGGCTTGTTTGTATTCAGACTGTTGGCTCCTCGGTTCTTAGGCAGATGTGCTCCCATGTTGACAGAAACACCCCTGGTTAGTCACCTTTCACAACTGATGGGTGACAGAAACACCCCTGGCTAGTCACCTTCTACAACTGATGGGTGACAGAAACACCCCTGGTTAGTCACCTTCTACAACTGATGGGTGACAGAAACACCCCTGGTTAGTCACCTTCTACAACTGATGGGTGACAGAAACACCCCTAGTTAGTCACCTTCTACAACTGATGGGTGACAGAAATACCCCTGGTTAGTCACCTTCTACAACTGATGGGTGACAGAAATACCCCTGATTAGTCACCTTCTACAACTGATGGGTGACAGAAACACCCCTAGTTAGTCACCTTCCACAACTGATGGGTGACAGAAACACCCCTGGTTAGTCACCTTCTACAACTGATGGGTGACAGAAATACCCCTGGTTAGTCACCTTCTACAACTGATGGGTGACAGAAACACCCCTAGTTAGTCACCTTCTACAACTGATGGGTGACAGAAACACCCCTGGTTAGTCACCTTCTACAACTGATGGGTGAAAGAAACACCCCTGGTTAGTCACCTTCTACAACTGATGGGCGACAGAAACACCCCTAGTTAGTCACCTTCTACAACTGATGGGTGACAGAAACACCCCTAGTTAGTCACCTTCTACAACTGATGGGTGACAGAAACACCCCTGGTTAGTCACCTTCTACAACTGATGGGTGACAGAAACACCCCTAGTAAGTCACCTTCTACAACTGATGGGTGACAGAAACACCCATGGTTAGTCACCTTCTACAACTGATGGGTGACAGAAACACCCCTAGTTAGTCACCTTCTACAACTGATGGGTGACAGAAACACCCCTGGTTAGTCACCTTCTACAACTGATGGGCGACAGAAATACCCCTAGTTAGTCACCTTCTACAACTGATGGGTGACAGAAACACCATGGTTAGTCACCTTCTACAACTGATGGGTGACAGAAACACCCCTAGTTAGTCACCTTCTACAACTGATGGGTGACAGAAACACCCATGGTTAGTCACCTTCCACAACTGATGGGTGACAGAAACACCCCTGGTTAGTCACCTTCTACAACTGATGGGTGACAGAAACACCCCTGGTTAGTCACCTTCCACAACTGATGGGTGACAGAAACACCCCTGGTTAGTCACCTTCTACAACTGATGGGTGACAGAAACACCCATGGTTAGTCACCTTCTACAACTGATGGGTGACAGAAATACCCCTGGTTAGTCACCTTCAACTGATGGGTGACAGAAACACCCATGGTTAGTCACCTTCTACAACTGATGGGCGACAGAAACACCCCTGGTTAGTCACCTTCTACAACTGATAGGTGACAGAAACACCCCTAGTTAGTCACCTTCTACAACTGACGGGGTGTCTTGAAAGATACTTGTTTTCAGCAGAGAGATGCTTTCATCTGTTGTCTAATGCAGTGTTCTTCAACCTATGGTCTGCAGAACAGCACCAGTCCATGGACATTTCCATGTGATCCACACACAAAATCTCCACTGCATCACTGAAAGACTACATTGCTGTTCATGATTCTGCACTACAGATAGTCTCCAGTTTGGAAATAGCACAACAATTATTTTATTTTTACCTACATTTGTTTTTGTTTCTCAATTAATAATTAGCTGACCTGCAAAAACAACAACATCTCCTTTATTCTCTGTCAACTGGTATAAAAATGTTGAAGGACACTGATCTAGTGTGTCCTCTAATCTCTATTTACCCTCTTCAACATCCAGGAATACCAATCAATACCTGTGAATCTATTTCTCATGTTATTTCAACAGCCTCAAGAGTTCCACAAAAACTGACAATATGTATGCTGAACAAAACTTCTGCTTTCTTTTTCCCATTCACCAGATGTAAAGTCTGCAGAAAGTCTTGGTTGTTTGAACAAAATTCTAGGATGACAGCACAGAGAAGTATGACAGCGAAGAGGAGTGGACAGGTCTTGGACCAGTATGATCTCTGGTCGTGGTGCAGCACGGTGGTTCAGTACCTGTGCATCCCCTTCTTGTTTGATGAGAGAAAGAAAAATGTGACCACATTCAATCCCGCTAACAGCTCTGGTTGTAACTATGGTCTGGTTTCAACTGTGCTAAGTTCAGTGGCTTAAATGTTCTGCGTCCCTCAAGATATTTCAATGAACTCAAGAGATCCTGGCTGTCCTGTGTCTTGGTTCATACAAAACCTAAAGCCCTAGTGAACAAAAGGCAAAACATGCCAGGAAGATTACCTGAGCTACTGCCAGGAAGCATTTCAAAGATGTTGAGGACAAACAGAATCAGGCTGACGAGGATGCAGAACAAAGTGGTGGTCACCAACATCCTCAGGTACTCGCCGTGCACAATGCTGATGTAATCAGACTTGAGGTAGGCCAGCGCAAACAGGGACATACTGGAGATCAGCAGAGCTAACCCGCCTGTTGATAGACTTGGTGCGTCTGCAAGAGAGAGAGAGAACATAAAACATCTTTAAACAAAAACAGGAGAGGATGTTTTCAGGTCAGTGCCACATCGCACATACCATGACATAAGACATATTTTTATAGACCAATCGTCATTCAATCGGTGACATGGTCCATATCCTGCCGCCCACCTTTACTTCCCAGCACATTACCTGGTACCCATTTAAGACTGAGTCAGTCTGGGAGCCAAGTTCAATTCTGAAAACAATCTGGTATGATACGGATTCAAACTCCTGACCTCTGAGGCAGCAGACGAGAGTCTAGCCAGTAAGCTATCATAGCTCCCATAAACACGTCTGACTACTTTATTGTTTACTCTGTCTCGGGCAGCTGTGACTTCAACATATTTCAGAGAGTGGCTATCAACATTACATGATATACGACTGTGTCTACAAGGATGTCTGTTCTCCAGCAGTCCCAGCCCCTGAGGTTCGTTGCTGCAGATATCACCCGACTGCATTTATCTCTGTGATTGGCCTTCTCTTTCCAGGTGGTGACTCCAAGTGTTTGTATGTCTGCAAGTGTTTGTATGTCTGCAAGTGTTTGTATGTCTCTAAGTGTCTGTATGTCTCCAAGTGTTTGTATGCCTGCAAGTAAATTATCTCTACACGGTCTTCTTGGTCTGCCTCAAGTGGTCTACACCCATTTAACTCTTCTTTGTATGCAGTTTCCAATTTTCCTTTTTCTGTCAATCGCTCTACATGCCCCAGCCAAAGATGCTTGATTTGTCTCTGGCCAAGCCAAAGATGCTAGATTTGTCTCTGGCCAAGCCAAAGATGCTAGATTTGTCTCCGGCCAAGCCAAAGATGCCAGGTTTGTCTCTGGCCCAGCCAAAGATGCTAGATTTGTCTCTGGCCAAGCCAAAGATGCTAGATTTGTCTCCGGCCAAGCCAAAGATGCTAGGTTTGTCTCCGGCCAAGCCAAAGATGCTAGGTTTGTCTCTGGCCAAGCCAAAGATGCTAGGTTTGTCTTTGGCCAAGCCAAAGATGCTAGGTTTGTCTCTGGCCAAGCCAAAGATGCTAGGTTTGTCTCCGGCCAAGATAAATATGCTAGATTTGTCTCTGGCCAAGCCAAAGATGCTAGATTTGTCTCTGGCCAAGCCAAAGATGCCGGGTTTGTCTCCGGCTAAGCCAAAGATGCTAGGTTTGTCTCCGGCCAAGCCAAAGATGCTAGGATTGTCTCAGGCCAAGCCAAAGATGCTAGGTTTGTCTCTGGCCAAGCCAAAGATGCTAGGTTTGTCTCTGGCCAAGCCAAAAATGTCTATAACTATTTATCGATGGTGTTTGATAAGAACATGGCAGAAGTCTTTGGAGGTTGCACAGAACCAGCACAGGTTTCTGGCACCCAACGTGAAGTATTAGGTATTCCTTTATATACAGCATTACGACTTGGATTTTCCCTCACCACCATACATTTTTGAGTAACGCACAATGTCCACTAAATTAAATCATTTAATTATTTTGAACACTATCAATATCTGTGGATTTACATCACAAGATATACAGCATCCCTATGACTTCTTAAATTACTGAAACACATGTGCAAACACAATACATTGTCCCATTCAAAAAACAAAATATACCTGTAATCATCTGTTTCAGCTTTCACACATTCCCTTTAAAAAAAAAAATACACTAATAAATTAAACAATGGGATTGGTCAGAATAAATAAAGGAGTACTTGAATACCAACCTTGCAATGTGTCTGGTGTTGTGGCAGCACTTAACAAGAACATCAAGACAATGAAGCCGATGACAATAGTGACAGCTAGCGGAGAGAAGTAGGCACCCAGATGTGTTGGGACAACCAGTGGCAGTTGGAACAATATACACTGGTTCTGTGGGATCAAACAAGACAAGAGCCTATATAACCACTATACAAGCAATTTCTTTATGTTCTCTCATATGTGTGTGACTGTGCACGCGTGCATGTGTGTGCACACACACACACCCCATACTGGCTCGTGTGGTCGCTGATTGTGTTAAAAGGTGTGTTAAAGGCAAGAGGATTTGACTGAGTCAAGAACTCAAGTCATTCCCATAAGCGCTCCATCCCCAACTGTTTCAATTTCAATGGTACCAGTAGCAGTCTGACTGTACCTCTATGCCTGTCCTCTGACTCTACTTCCACACCTGTCCCCTGACTGTACCTCCAAGCCTGTCTTTTGTACTTCCAAGCCTGTTCTCTGACTGTACCTCTATGCCTGTCCTCTGACTTTACTTCCACACCTGTCCCCTGACTGTACCGCCAAGCCTGTTCTCTGACTGTACTTCCAAGCCTGTCCTGACTGTACTTCCACACCTGTCCCCTGACTGTACTTCCACACCTGTCCTCTGACTGTTCTTCGACACCTGTCCTCTGACTGTACTTCCAAGCCTGTCCTCTTGACTGTAATACCACACCTGTCCCCTGACTGTACCTCCAAGCCTGTCTATTGTACTTCCAAGCCTCTCCCCTGACTGTACTTCCAAGCCTGTTCTCTACCTCCAAGCCTGTCCTCGTGTTAAGTGTCTATTCAACTTGACTGCACTGTGCTGTGTCAGATATGGCTTAGCCTCTTCTGCAAAGCAACTGGTCATATGCTCATTACGAAATTCCAAAAGCTCCTGCAGCGATCTCTCCTCTGAAACACCTGTACTGACAAACACAGAACAATGACATGATCCCTCACTTCAGTGACCCCCTGCTTGGTCTAGTAGTTCCAGGTCAACATCCTCAGCTTTATGACCACTAGGCTCCAAGGTTGACCAAAGGTTACAAACTGGAGCACAGATTCTCCTGCAACTCCTGTCAAGCCATTCTATCTTCTGCAGCTATATCCATTTCCCAATTCTCTTCTCAGTGTTTTGGGTATTGCTCCTCTATTTCTGTCAATTCTCTTCTCAGTGTTTTGGGTATTGCTCCTCTATTTCTGTCAATTCTCTTCTCAGTGTTTTGGGTATTGCTCCTCTATTTCTGTCAATTCTCTTCTCAGTGTTTTGGGTATTGCTCCTCTATTTCTGTCAATTCTCTTCTCAGTGTTTTGGGTATTGCTCCTCTATTTCTGTCAATTCTCTTCTCAGTGTTTTGGGTATTGCTCCTCTATTTCTGTCAATTCTCTTCTCAGTGTTTTGGGTATTGCTCCTCTATTTCTGTCAATTCTCTTCTCAGTGTTTTGGGTATTGCTCCTCTATTTCTGTCAATTCTCTTCTCAGTGTTTTGGGTATTGCTCCTCTATTTCTGTCAATTCTCTTCTCAGTGTTTTGGGTATTGCTCCTCTATTTCTGTCAATTCTCTTCTCAGTGTTTTGGGTATTGCTCCTCTATTTCTGTCAGCATCTGTGGTTTAGGCATTGAGAATGCACTTTGTATTTACAGATGCTGGTGATTTGGCAAGTGACCCCACTGCACTGATTCTGACATGGGTATCAAGAACAAGAAAGAAATGGCAAACTACTGAACATAAAACATTGCCTAGTGAAATCACAAAGACAATTGACCACGTTACCTCCATTTTTTTCCTCGTGTGCACTGGCTGCACTTGAGCAAAAAATTCTGCTTGTTCGTTCCCCTCTGGACTTTAGTCTTGTTCCTGAACCTGAGTGTTGTGTGCACATCTGTTTAACAAATCTGGCTTATTTATTTGCAGACTCTTGGTTCCTTGCCTCTCAGGCAGATGCACTCTGAGGGGGACTGAGGTCTTGAGGTATGGTGTCACCTCGCCTGGAGGTCCGGGGTTCAAGCCCTGGTGAAGGCTTGGATTTTTTCACATGGACTTCTGGTAATTCCCCCCTGGTCTCTGGGTAGTGGGATCGGACACCCATGTGTATTCTTGCGCACGTAAAAAAAATCCCTTGGCAATTGGAAATCGAAAAGAGAAGCCTAACGGCGCTGCCCAGGCCAAAATTTTCAGTTAAATATCTACCTAAAGTATTTCGGGATCCTCGCCGGTGCTACAGAGTTTGTGCACTGCGCTGAGATTTCTCAGACTCAGGCTTGAGTCAGAAGTAGAATGGAGCACTTATGGGTTGCACCCATGTGCCATAAAGTTGATCAGTTGAATAAACATAATAAACAAAACAGATGCATTCCAATTTTGAATAGGCCCCTAATCACACAACTCTTACCACATGCATATGGGGGAGACATGGGGGTCTATTCTTGTTTTTTTCCCCCCACAATGGGGCCCTGGAATCCACATGGGGAGTAACCTCCATAACATCTTACGGTGGAGGGGTGGGTGGAGGGGTGGGTGGATGGATGGAGCGTTGGATAGATGTTTAGAGGAGTGTATGGATGGAGGGGTGGGTGTATGGAAAGATGGAGGGGTGGGTGTATGGAAAGATGGAGGGGTGGGTGTATGGAAAGATGGAGGGGTGGGTGTATGGAAAGATGGAGGGGTGGGTGGATGGATGGAAGGGTCAATGGGTGGATGGATAAATGGATGGCCAACCAACATGACAAATCCTAGAAAACCCATTCAACCTTCTAAGAAGTTGTGATGTTTGTTTTCTGGCACCTTTCCTTCTATCCAGATGATAGTGTTTATACTGGGCTATGGGGAGGCTTGAAAATGACAGGCCTTGAGGATAGCCAGTATGATGCCACAGCTCAAAACCTGGGCAGTATTGTAGTCTATTTGTTGCACAGGCATCTCTCTCTCTCTCTCTCTCTCTCTCTCTCTCTCTCTCTCTCTCTCTCTCTCTCTCTCTCTCTCTCTCTCTCTCTCTCTCTCTCTCTCTCTCTCTCTCTCTCTCTCTCTCTCTCTCTCTCTCTCTCTCTCTCTCTCTCTCTCTCTCTCTCTCTCTCTCTCTCTCTCTCTCTCTCTCTCTCTCTCTCTCTCTCTCTCTCTCTCTCTCTCTCTCTCTCTCTCTCTCTCTCTCTCTCTCTCTCTCTCTCTCTCTCTCTCTCTCTCTCTCTCTCTCTCTCTCTCTCTCTCTCTCAGCCTGCTGTGTTTACTCCAAACATATAAGGACAAGACCAGCCTGGATAACCTGC